TTTTCGTAGTTGTGGCATTATTTTACAGAAAATTGCAGAATTGGAGTATTTCCCCGTACTTAGTTTAGCCACCGCGAGCATTGGAGCGGGAACGCATTCCTATGATTGTATTCCGAAGCCCAGGACCGTATTTGATAAGTCAATCCGGTGATTAAGGGCTCGGTGAAGAGAAGAGGAGCTCGGGCATTGGATCCGTTAAGGAATGTATATTGGGCCAAGAAGTGCAAGCCCAAAGAATTTGAAGAAGAGTCCTTGCCCGAGCACTCACCCGATCGGGCAGGGCTTCGCCCAAAGGCGCGCCCGACTGGGCGAGGGAGATAGTAAAGGGCGAGCTTCGCCCGGACGTGCTCCCGACCGGGCGCGAGCGAAGCATTAGAGAGAAAAAAGGCGCGCCTGACCGGGCGCGTGTTTTCTTTAGGAATTTTTATTTGTTTTAGCTTTTTCTTTAATTAGTTTTAGGAGCTTAGTATAAATACCTTCGGTTGCTAAAATGGTAGTAGCACGTTTTTTAGACCGATGATTACGTTTTTCATTAGATTAATTTCCAGATTTTTACTTAAGCTTTGTTCTTGATACTCTTGTTCACTCTACATTCTTTGATTTATGCAATTCATCCTTTCCATTTAATTTGGTAACGATTACTTTCCTTTTTATTTTTAGTAATTTAATTGCTTTGGTTAATTATGTTTTGTTTAATTATTTTGTTTAGCTTAGATTTGATTATGAGTGAGTAGATTTATTTCTAGGGTTTGTGGGGATCCATGAATAATATGAAGGGGTAAATTATTATTGTTAATTGTTAATGATTGATTGATTTCCTATTGATTGATTTAATGCTATGCAATTAGATTTGACCAGATTTAATTGTATGAGTTATGCAATATTGATTCGAGATTCGAGAGATGAGAATTGATGTTTAGGCTTAGTTTCAATAGCATGTTAATCTATAAATGGTTAAGTCAAGATTCGAGAGATGCGATTTAATACCGGTAGATTAATTTTGTGATTATAATACGTAGCGAAAGCCCTTTATAATCTGATTAATTTATGCATTGATGATTGATTGTTATGTTTTACCCTAAAATATTATTTATTGGTGAACCTATACCCTAGGTCTATTATATATACCTAACTCTAACATAGCCTCATCAAAAGCTTCCTTCGCTGTGTGATATGCCCTAAAGATACAAAAAAAAAAAAACGTATAAGTAAGTAACAACGCAATTATAACAAACATGATTTGTAAGCCTAAAAATGTACTATACAAGTACCTTTGATAAGAATTTGACACCTCATAGTAGAAACGGAAAAATTTAATGCCAAGCCTAAAGGTGTCGGATGAATAGGCGAAAATTGAATCACTGCTATGGCCATTGCTTCCGACAACAAAATTTAATTGCAATTATTCACTTGTAATATGATAAAGAAAATTGAATGATATACAAAATAATATTAACCACAAAGTTAATGACAAACACTTCTGACTTCAAGGCTAATTACATAATTAGAAAACCACACATATAAGTAGTCTAATCATATTTCTAACAAATTGCTACTTCACCAATTTCTTCATTGCATTGATCATATCTGCAAAATTTAATGGTAGCTTTTTCCAATTAGATAAATTAATGGTAAAAGTCATGTCTCATCATGTGTATTTGGTCAAAGTGTAACATTTACTAAAACACGGGGGGAGTAGGATAAGTCTTTTAACTTACCCAATATATTATACGAAGTAATATAAATTTTGAATCTAGAAGACATAAATTGTGCACATTATGTTCATTTTATTACCGTACGAAAATGAGATGCGATAAACAAATTTTTGTCTATTTTAGAGATAAACTTATTTTTTGTAGATATGGTAAGAATGCACTTACACGTAGGGCTGAGCCAAACAACCCGAAAAATCGAAAACCCGAAATCCAATCCGTAACGTTCCGAAAATTAGGATACCCGATCTGATAACTATAACGGTTCGGGTATCAGTTTCGATAATTTGTTATCGGGTATGGTTATTGAGTATCATTTTAAAATTAACGGTTACCCAATCTAATCCGATAAGCAGTTTTTTTGTTTTTTTTCCTACTTAAATTTATTTTTCCAAAATCTAAACTCTTTACTTCACTTCATAATCACTTTATAATATCAATTATTAGTAATATTATTAATAATTTGGTCAAGATCATGTGGTATTTTTGTTAATTAGTATTAAATGATATCATAATGACTCCATTACTAAGTTTAATTATCATTATTGGATATCCTATTGGATACTCGATAACCGATCAGAAAATCTGGGTATTCAAAATTCGGGTTCCCGAACTTATCGGTTTGGTTTATGGATAGCACTTTTAATGATATTGGTTATCGATTACTTGAACCGTTAATACTAACGGTACGGGTACCTGTCTCATGCTCACCCCTACTTACACGTACTTCGCTGAAAAGGGAAAACGCTTTCCTAAATACTAACGGTACGGGTACCAGACGCTGTCAAAGCAACAAGTGCAGAAGGAGATTGAACGTTGGGAGAAACTCAAGGATGATGATTTCTTTTAAAGCTTCTGCTTTCTTCTTTAATGGCGGTAATTCTCTTTCCCCTTCTTTTCGAACTTTCTCTTCTTTCCAAGATCGTCAATTGTTTCTAAGTTCAGTTACAGAACAATCCAAATTAGGGTTTTCCGATCTCAAATCCCCCATTTTTCTATATAATCAAATGATTAATTTGCGCCCTCTTCCTTCTGTTATCTATTTCAATCAGTTATTTACTGCTATTGCCAAATTGAAACAACTTCAACCTCATTCCACCATTATCTCTCTCTTCAGGCAGCTTGAATAGTTGAATTGTATGGTATTAAATTCGATATGCATTCTATTGGTATTCTTGCTAATTGCTACTGTCATTTAGATCGTATCGGTTTCGGGTTTTCTCTTTTGGGTAAAAGACTTAAGCTTGGTTATCCCCTTAATTCTGTCATTTTTAACACCTTGATTAATGGTTATATCCACTCTGATAAGCTGCCCCAAGCTGCTGATTTGTTAAATAAAGTTGTCAAGCTTGGTTTCCAACCTTCCGTTGTTACCAGAAAATGCAATCTGAATAGGCAACAATGTGTCTGCTCTCGCTTTTCTAAAGAAAATGCAATCTGAATGTCGTTTTAAGCCTAACATTGTTGTATACAGCACAATTATCGACAGTCTTTGTACGGACAGGTTGTTACAAGAGGCCCTAGACCTGTTCTCGTCCATGAAAACTGAGAGCATTAAACCCCAATGTTGTCACTTACACTTCCTTGGTTCGAGGCCTCTACAATTCCGGCTGTGGAGATGAGGCTCAGCGTGTGTTGGCTGAGATGTTAGAGAGCAACATAGCACCGAATGTTCAGACCTACAGCATGCTGGTTGACATGTTTTGTAAAGATGGGTGTGTTGATCAAGCACAGTCCATTCTACACCATATGATTGAGTGCGGTGTGGCTCCAAATATCCTTAGTTATAGTGCAATTGATGGTTATTGTTTACGTGGTCAGATGGAAGATGCAGAGGACCTGCTTGATCTCATGGCTAATAATGGTTGTGAGCCTGATCTTTTAAGTTCCAATACTATGATTAATGGATATTGCGAGGCTAAAAACATTGACAAAGCCTAACCATATTCCATGAGATGTTTCAGAAAGGAATAACCCCTAATGTTATATCCCACAACACTCTTATGGATGAACTGTGCAAAGCCAATAGAATCCCAATTGCACATAAGTTGTTCAAGGAAATGTTGGCTGCGGAAATTACACCAGATGTTGTCACCTATGCCTCCTTGCTTGATAGCCTTTGCAAAAGTGCTCGGCTTGACGAGGCAGTGATGTTACTTGAAGATATGGAGGACAATGGTGTCAAGCCAGATATTGTCATCTATAGTATCCTAATAGACAACTTGTGTGAGGCTGGACAACTTGAAGATGCAGCAAAGTTCTTTTCAGATCTTGTAACAAAAGGTCTGCAACCTAATGTGAAAACATACAGTATACTGGTTAAAGGCTTCTGCAAGAAAGGGCTCATGAGTGAAGCTGCTCAAGTGTTGAGGATAATGGAGGAAAATGGTTGCCCCCCTAATGATCAAACCTATAATACGATAATCAGAGGTTATATACTCAATAATGAATTATCAAATGCATTCTACTATTGTGATCTTATGGTTGGAAAAGGGTTTGAAGCTGATGCAGACACTTTCTCATTTTTTGTTGGCCTCTTGTCTTCTGATAACTTCAGCGACTCAAACAAGGACCTGCTACAGAAGTTTATCAGCTGAATTTTTCAGTTAAAAAGTATGCAAAGATTTTGGACTTTGGATATTAGAGTGTTTTTCAAAGTGTTGTATCTATTAGTCTATCTGATATGCATTTTTGACAAACAAATTATGGTCGTACCTCATCGATTTTGCTATGTCGTCCATCAGGCCCTGATGGTGCAGTCAAAAGTTGTTGTGTTGAGCATTGTCACAACTCCTAAGGTTTGATGCCTCTTATCCTGTCTAAAATCATATGCATAATGACTTTATGTTTAACTTATAATGGTAAATGATCATTTTTAAGTTGCACATGTAGTTCTTTCTAGCTCTGTTATGACTAAGATGAGAACTACAGTATAAAATTGAAACTTTAAAAAACTTTGGCTTTGGTTTGTGAATTCTTTTGAACTACTTGTTTCTATATTAGTTAGCCTTGCATTAATGATAGAATAAAAAAGTTAGTTGGATTACTTTGATGGAAAGGAGGTGACTTGGTGAGTGAAGAAACGGGCAGGATTCGAATCGGATGCTGCAATATTTGTCTTGTGCTTAATTTATAATTAGGCTTGTAATCCAACTTTGATCATGATTTTCCTAAATTCGACTCAAATTCCTACTCAATTTTATTTTATTTTCTAAACAAAGCACTATTAAAATATATACATGTGTAAAGTTAAGTTCAACTAGTAAATACATATTATAAAATCAGAGATGTTTAAGATAGTATTCTCAATATTCTTTCTCAAACTAAGCTATATATTGTAATACAAATTGAATGTTTTAATGTTCCTTTCATCTACTATTCTCAAGCTATTGTAATATAAATTGAATGTTTGTCATGTTCCTTTCATGCATTTTTCTCAAGCTACTGTAATACGAAGTGAATGTTTCAAAGGTTCCTTTCATCATTCTCCGCCTTCCATAGTGTAAGGTTATCCCTCAAAAGATTCAGGATAACCTTGCTGTCTTTCGAGGAATCCTTGCCGCCTAAATCATCCAACGCTAACATAGCCTCTTCAAAAGCTTCCTTCGCCAACTGATATGCCCTAAAATATAAAAAATACGCACAAGTTACAATGAAATTATAACAAACATGATCATAGTGAAATTGTAAAATTATAAATTTATTATGTAAGTACCTTTGATAAGAATTTGAAACCTCGTAGTAGAAAACGGCAAAATTTAATGCCAAGCCTAAGCGTGTTGGATGTATAGGTGAAAATTGAACCATTGCTACGGCCATTGCTTCCTGATATACAAAATAATATTAACTACAAAGTTAATGACAAACACTTTTAACTTCAATTCGGCTAATCACATAATTAGAAAACCACACGTATAAGTAGTCTAGTCATTTTCTAACAAAAATGCAACATTAGTAATATTCGTATTCTATATACGAAGAAAGATAATTCTAAATATATAGGTGAGAATTTATATGAAAGGAAGATAAATTAAAACGGCACTTAGAAATATAGCAAATTAAAATTCATGAATTTAACTAAGTATACACAAAAAATTGCAAGAACAAAAAATGGAGTAATAGAAATAGAATCGAGCATTTATTTACCTTATATGTTTTTAAAGACTCTTCCGCCACTAATGATTTTGCATCACCAGTTTTGATTTCGGCCATATATCGGTAATGATCTGCTTTCCTGCATCACATAGCTCTCCGTTAATTAAACAAACCAATTCTTAACTTAAAGAAATAATGATCAAAGATATTAAAGAACACTAATACGGATGATAATCTTAAAAAAAAAAAAAAAATTTAAGATCAATCAATTGCTAAAAATACTTAATTAAGTTTAATACGAAGCAATATACAAAATACTTTTTAAAAAAATTTATACTCGCATCTTTAAGTAGAAGACGGAGGATTCAGTGCTAGACGCAAAAGGAAGGAGATGATCATCAATTAGAGTTATAACGTCGTAGCAAATGTTAGCAAGGTCCGACTCGACTATATTACGATAATCTTGAATACACTTCATGTACGTCTCATTTTTGTATATTGTATCTTCCTTCTGTTCAGTTGTTGAGAGAAGTTTCCATGATTCTCTCTTTGGCTCGGTAACTTTCTTGTACGCTGTTGAAAGGAGATTACGCTCTTCAGCAGTTAAATCAATGTTAAACTTCACCAATTTCTTCATTGCATCGATCATATCTGCAAAATTTAATATATGAAATCAATAGTTATATCTTAATAGTTTCATGCTTGACAACGTAACGCATAACTTACTGTACACGTGGTAGAGTATTATATCATAAATAATTAAATATCTTAAAACAACGATAATATTTTTAATTTAGTACGTAAAAGTGATATAAAGTTTTAATTGAGATGTATTAACAAGATTACACTTAATAAATTAATAATATTATTATCTTAACATACACTTTGAAATCAAAAAAAAATAGTCAAAGATAATGTAACATGGGTAGAACTTTGTGTTTTTGCAAAGAACGTAGAAGTAAATCAGAAGGAACTCAAATCCAAACTAAAATTGGAGCTTTTGGGAGTTGAAACTCCTACGTGAAAGAATTGAAAGTGATGAGGAAGAGCATACCATCATAGCGTTCGGCTTGGGCGGCTAGCTTAGCGAGGTAGATGATGTTGTAACGTTCGCTCGAAGAAGCCATGAGAGGATCGGAGAGATCAAGACTCAAGAGAATTAGCTACTCGTGAAGGTTTAGCGAGGGGTTGAATATTTTGAGGTAGTGTATGAGGAAGAATTGAAAAGTGAAAGAAAGGGCACGGTAATTCTAATATATATATAGCTATTTTTTCGTACAAAAATAATCTTGATTATTTACTTATCTTAGGAAAGTAGTCTACGTCTAGATAAGTTAGAGATTGTATTACTTGTAGGATACGTAGTCTTGTTGACTAGGTCATGTAGTTTTTAAATTAATCCTAAATATCTACAAGTATTATTTTTATTTTAGGAAACATGCTAAAGCCCAGGTTAAAATCTAAGATTAACGTTCTAAGTTAATCTACTCTTACAACTTTATACATTTATTTCTATGCCACTATTCTATTTCACTTTTATTATTTAGAAAATAAAAGAAAAACAATAAACTGTGAGAAAAGATATATTTTCATGTTTATTTCAGAGATAAACTTGGATTTCCCCCTTCAATAGTTCAATGTAATATACGATTTCAGTTTTTCATTTGAACTTAATTGACGTATGTATGTATTCTCATAGTACTTTTTGGAAAATTTCTGTTTAGTTGATATGTGTTTATTTTAGGTAAATTTTAATTAGAGCATGTTTGATACAATGTTTTTAAGAGTTGCAAGTGAAATTAATTAACCGTTTTTATTATCAAAACTATTATCATTACTTAAAGGCCGGATATCCATTACCACCTATTTGTTGCCTCTTTTCAGTATTATATATGGTAAGACGGATTTAGGATCTAAAATATAAACTAGACCATATCTTGATCTCTAAAAGCTTATTCATAAATTAACCTCATTTTAGAGTACTACAACAAAGAATAAAAAGAAAAGATTATAAATGGTTTTGATTTCGGAACCAATCATTGAATGGGCTCTGAGCATGAATGAAACCAACTTAGCCAAAGTATTTTACATTTAGTTAATTGCATCTTAAATACACCTTTATCCTAGCAATCCATTGAACAAGTATGGGCTTAGATGAGTCCTCTTAATCGAAAAAAAACATGTTTTTCTAAATACTTTCACTGATTTTCTTAACCATACGTAACATATATCCACTTGAAACACTTTAAGGGGTGAATTCACATACCTTTCCCTCGTTCTCAAAGGACCTAACTCGCTAATTCGAAACAAGTTATCTGTGAGAGATTCCGATCTAGTAATTAATAAAGTCTTTTTTTTTTTTTTGAGAGGGTAGTTAATAGAGTCTTTCTCCTTGGCTAAAAAAAAAAAACGTAATGTTAATTAATTGTACACGGTCAACCTGCGAATGAAATGCCATCAACGAGTCAACGACCCAACGATCCACAAATTATCCTGCTAAAAAATCCAACTTCAACGCCCTAAATCTATCCACTACTATATCTCCATTAACACCAAAAAACTCAACTCCTCTTCCTTTGCACTTACCCCACCAAATCCGCTTCTTTCAAGAGAGAGAAAAACCCAGAATTATCCAACATTATGGCTGCAAATTAAACCCACCCATTTTTTAATCTTTCCATTTCATAACCCATTTCCATAAAGTATGGGCATTTCGTATTTTCAACGAAATCCCATTTTTTTATGATTAAAAATGAATTAATTTCTATTAGAATATTCGATTATTATCTATTCTTGGATACCCAACAAAAATTAAAATTAAAGATTGATTTTTGAAGACAGATTATATACATGGCAGCATCACCTTCAGCATCAGCTGCTGCTGCGTCGGTGAGTTTATTATACGCGCGCAACAATTGTGTTAGTTCTCCTGTTTTCTCTCTTAAACTTGGTGGTGGTTCTCTTCCTTCTTCATCATCTTCATCGTTGTCGTCTTCGTCATCGTCGTCTTCTTCGCATTTTTGTTCGTCGAATAGTTCATGTAATTTCTCTGGTAATTTTTTAATTTATTTTTGTAATATATTGTTATTTTTATTGAATATTTTATTTGGGATTTTTTGTTTTGTTGCTTATATTATTGAATTTGAGTTTGCAATTGAGTGATTATTTTATGTGTTATTCTATTGGTAGGTTGGTTTCTGGGTTTTGGGCAAATGTTGGAATTGTAAACTGTAGGTAGAAAAATGAAAAGGGGGGGGGGGTGTTGATTGAACAAATTTTGATGGAATTGAGGAGGGGAATTAAATTTCGGGTTTCAGTTCATTTTTGAGAAATAGGAATTACAGTTGCTTGAATTGTAGAAACTTATGAATTATGATTGCCATTGTTGGAGTTTATGGTGAGAGACTTTTGATTGAAGTATTTGTGACAACTTGTTGGATTAGAATTTTGGGTATAGAGATGCTAAGAATTATTGGTCATATTCTCAAAGCTGGTTGATCTTCATTTATCTCTTATTCTGTGAGGGCAGCTGCTAGTGCTCCTGCTTTTCGAAGCTTTTGCCGGTGATTGAGGAAAGCACGAGGTTATTAGTATAGATAGAATATGAGAGGAGTATTAAAAGAACATGGGGTAGGTATTGTGTTAGTTGTCTTTTAAATGGTATGTTATTTTATGTTTGTGTATTTAGAAAGGTTAAGGGTGGATTAAAAAAGTGGAATTTAGAGAGCATAATTTGATGGTTGGCAGTTTGCAGTATGAAGTTAACTAGTTAATAAATATATGTGGAGAAATCAGTGGGATATGTTCGTATATATAATATATGGAATTACTGAAGAAGTTAGTATCATGCATATTCTATTGTAATAATGGCATGTGGGTTTAAGGTTTGTAGCTTTGTGTGTGATACTTTCTCTTTTGTTCCACTGAAGGAGAAGATTTTATTTTTATACATGAACTGTACAAAGAAGATGATGAGTGTTATGGAATGACATATAATAGGTTCTTATTTGAATATGAAGACACTGTTTAATGTCTCTGGTTTCTTAGAATTTGTTGTGTAAGAGATTGCTAGAGAGTGATCTCCATAGCTAGAGAGTGATCTCCTTGTCTTTCTTTGCCGGTCCTTTATGCTTAGAAAGAAGTTGTTTTAACAAGGGGGCTGAGGCCCGGTATAGGTTTGTTCATTAGTAGATCAAGTAATTCATTCTTATCATGTATAGTTGGTTCAAATGTTCTCAGTTGCCTATTTCCTCATTGTTTGTTTTGTACAAATTGTGTTCCCTCCAAGACATTATGTGTCGAACCCTTTGTTTTTTTCTTCTTAATTTAGTCTAATGGATGTTGTCTATAGTAGTAACTTGAGAAATTGGAAACTTTTCTGGGTTGCAGTTGCTTGGAGAAGCAGAGTTTGGGTTGTCTCTTTGGTGCTTAAGATGTGACTTTTTATGTTGGCAGAATGAGAGGCAAAGGGGGAAGGCTGCTGCCAAAGGTGGTATTTTCAAGAGATTTTTATGAAGAAACTGTTGATTGTACAATTCTGCCCTTGTGGTAGTGGAGTGTGAATTGTGCAGTATGCATCTAACCCTTAACTAATGGATGCCAACTAGCTTTGTTGGTTAAAGTATGGGGGTGTGGTTCTCAAGACCTAGGGTTGAACTCCACTAACATCATTTTCCTTTTGTGATTCTCTCTATACCAAATTAGAAATCTAGCCTTTGTTAAGTATCGGATTACTTTTTTGTAGTGGATTTTATCTCATGTATGAGGGAGAAGCGTCATATGTTTTATGTATTACTATCTTGCTATGAAAGATTTTTGCAGGAGTGATGCATTTCCACTGAGTAAAAAGGGGAAGATAAAGCATATTTTGATCCAGTTAGATCCTTGTTATGCTTGATCTTCTTCGGATTCTTTAGCTCTCTAGTCTTTATATTTTTAAACTTGGGATGTTGATATTGGTTTCACTATTTTTTGTAATGATGTGCACTCCAATTAAGAGAGAGTAGCAGATATTGATGATAATACTGATGACTGTAAATCTGTAATGGAAGCTCAGAAATTACTGTTAAATCAAATCAACACAGTATTTTCGTTGATGATGCTATCATTTATTTTTGCTATAAGGAGATATGAAGAGCATTAATTTTTAAGTGCATTGTCTTGATGACAACTATTACAATATTGAAATTTCTTGAAGGATCGATTTTGCATGTTTTTATCTGTATCTAAATGCTGGAATTGCTTATCTTAGAAAATAATGAAGTAGAAATTAACTGTAAATCTGTAATACACCTTATCCTCTTTATCTCCTTGGTCTTTCAAAGCTTTGGCTTATTGATCAAGATTCTGTTTTCAGGGGTGAATGATTGCTGGCAAAATCAAAGGTTTGAGTCTCATGCAATGAGTACTACAGCTGTAAATAAACCGTCTTCAACAGTCAATGGAGAACTCGGGCCTGATCATCTTCTTGTACTTGTCCATGGCATCATGGCTAGGTATATGTTATTGGATTCTTTTAAATATTTTAGGAGGTTTAAACTTTGCGGTCTTGACTTTTTCTGCTCAATTTTTTTCTCAGTATGTGACTCTAATTCTACTGTCTCAATGATCAAGAAGTTCATGCTTAGATAAATAGTTTTACTTTTATCCTTGTGGTGCGGCTTAGCAATCAAGAATGTTAATCTGTTCCTTAATTAAGTTTCTTAGAACTACAAATTTGTTATTATTGTGGGAATTTGTGTTTGTATATGATTCATGCCAAAATTTTAGCTACCAACCCCTTAGGATGACATTTTACTTTTGTTCTTAGAACAGCCCAAGTGATTGGACATATTTTGAAGCGGAATTGAAGAAGCGATTGGGAAGAAATTTCTTGATTTATGGTGTGTTTTATCTACTTCTCTTACCTTGTATGCCACTTTATAATTTTTTTTTTTTTTTTTTTTTTTTTTGGGTTGCAATCTACTTTATTGTGAACTGTGAAGAGCCTCTTAAATCTTTACCCTCTAGTTTTGGGATGATTGCTAAAATTGCATCTTTGCTAGGTGTATTGCAGGTACAACTTTAATTAGGTATAGCAGAATTCTTATGTTTGATTTACCCTCCTGCACTGCTTGACCTTATGTTTATATAATTTCTATGTTGGGATTTACGAAGTAATATGTTTTAAAGTACTAGAAGGATCTGCTAGGATGCAAATATGAAGAGAATTACTTTAATTAGAATGTGATGTGCCACTTCAGTTTTGTCAAAGAATATTAAGTAGTTGTTTGCTGTAAAAAAAAAAAAAAACATGCTTTGTGCTTCTGTAATACCCTAGTCGCTTCAGTGTTATCATCCTTTGTCCAACTTGTTCTCTGATTTTATTTTGCGCTATTTTATGGAGCAATCTTTGATATTTAAATTTTCATTTAAATAAATCCCTGATAATTTTTATAGGTGCTGTGGTCAAACAGTTTGTTTTTCTGGAGCCCATTTATTATTATTCATTATTCTTAGTTTGGATGCTTAAAGTGCTTTCTCTTTCTAATATTTTCAGCAAGTTCATCAAATACCTTCACTAAAACCTTTGGCGGTATTGACGGGGCTGGGAAACGTTTGGCTGAGGAGGTGAGCTTTGAATACATCTCTTGCTATGTTTGTAGCTTTACATAAATATTTTCCTTGAAACTAGTTCATTATGCTTAACAGGTCAGACAAATTGTACACAGGACAGAGAGTCTAAAGAAAATTTCCTTTTTAGCCCATTCTCTTGGTGGCTTGTTTGCTCGATATGCTGTTGCTGTCCTTTACACACCAAATAACTTGGGTGATGGAGATCTAAATGATGCTTCAATAGCAGGCCGCTCAACAAAGCATGGTTTGGTTGCTGGACTGGAACCTATCAATTTTATTACACTAGCTAGTCCACATCTTGGAGTAAGAGGGAGGAATCAGGTCAGTCCTCCCCTTGAAAGCTAGCAATTTTTGTGACTCTGTTTTGTACCATATGTTCATGTTTTCGATAGTTCTTTAACAGCTTATGCTATAGTTCGTTTTACTGGATAGATTCGATTTCATGTGAAGGCTGAATGTGGCAAGCATGTCATTAAGCAAGTTGCTTATGCTATAGGGACATTGCTTGCCTTGGTCAGTTGTCATAGATATTGAATTGGAAAACAAATGTTAATTGCATAAAAGAGTCTTTGATACACTATCATATTGTTATAAATTGCTTGTCGTTTTTTATTGTAAGGGGGTGAGGGAGCAAAGCACAAATCTCATATCTGCAATGGCAGAGATGTTTTCCATACTTTATTGGAAGACACTGATTGCTTTGGTTCTTTTCCATGAATAGGAGGCAGAGGATACATGATGTGTGTGTGTGAGATTAATTTTTATAAGCTTTATTTAATACGAAATTATCTTTATTATTATTGTTGTTGTTGTTGTTGTTAATGACTTTTGAGCTCTTTAGGGATCAGTGTGGCTAGTATGATAAATTTCATAATAAATTTGCCTTATGGACCATTCATCTGACATATGACTCTTTTAGTCTAGAAGAGGTCTGTAGAGGCCCTCTCAGACAGCCAAAACTACACCTCTCCTAGAGATTACCAATCAGAAGTAGACTTATATACTGTCTTAAGCTGTAAAGGCCTTCTCAGATAATCCAAATGCACCTTTCTTCAAGATTACCGACCAGCTAGAGAGTTAAATATTGTCTTAAAATTGCGTATGTGATTACTCAGAAACGTGAAGACAAACGGAAGAAAAATGAAAAAAATAAAAACATTTAATGGTATACCTTTATTAGAAACTATTGGTCAGCATCACTCCAAGAGACTTAAAGATGCATATGTGATGAATCAGGTACGTGAAGGCTGATGGGAAGAAACCTGAAAAAAAGAGTAAAAATGCATATGTGGTGAACAACCTTTGCATTTAAAAAGTATTCTAGATTATGTGTTAGCAATGACCAGTATATACACAGGAGTGATGGTTTTAAAAAAAAAAAAAGAAAAATAAGAGAGAAGTACAGCTGGAATAACCAAAGGCAAGTGTTTTGAAGAAAACTGAAACCAAGGAAGCATATGTCAGTAATATATTAACATATGAATAGACATGTGAATTTGAATTGTTTTCATATAGTACATTTCCGTTCTTTTTTCATATTGTACATTTCTGTAGTTGTTTTCATATACCCTGTACCAAAACCACTGCTTGTTCAGAAATTTATATTGAATTCTAGGTGTTATCTTGGATACATTTTAATTAAGTCCATGTAAAAGATTGTGTTGTGGTCCTAAGTCCTTGTATAGGTCTTCGTGTAAAGCATTCACCTGCTCTTTGTATGTTATCTTGCTTGGCTTTGTTAATTCGACATAATTGATTTGCAATCTGATAATATACCGTTGAATGGAAACATGCCCCCAAAAATTCATGATTTCTAATCTGCTCTTAACATGTGAGTTTTGGTGTTAATTAATGTTTCCCTTTTTACCTGCACTGTAAGTAATGGTGGTGTGAATAATAAGTGCTGCAGATGCTAACAGTTCTATTAACTGACTATCTGATCATGTTATACTTATTATATGTCGTTGAAATTGAACTCTGTGGTTCTCTTATTATTTATTTCAGCTGCCATTCCTTTTGGGACTTCATTTCTTGGAGAAACTTGCCCCATCCTTTGCATCAGTTTTTGTTGGTCGAACTGGTAGTCAGCTCTTTCTTACTGATGGTAAACCAAATAGACCCCCACTTCTTCTGAAGATGGCAACAGATTGTGAAGACTGTAAATTTATGTAAGTTAAAATGCTGGAAGAATTCCATGCAACTATTGTGATTTATTCTATACTTTATATTTGGACATGAGATGACAAATCATGATTAAAACATTGAAATTGACTAGATTTGACAACAAAAGCAACTAATGTGTCCTATTATTTGATGCTTTAACACCTTTATATTTACATGTTTAATTCAAGTACAATATGATTCAAGTACTATTTTTGGTTTAATAATTTAAAGAGAAGATAATGAGGACAATAATTTATTGTAACTGCTCCAATATGAGTCAATTCCTCCTTTTATACACACGGCTATGGTAGAATGGGGGGAGGGGTAAAGAGAAAACCTGAGATTAATCTTAAAAAAAAAGGCTTAATGTGAAAAAAAAAAAAAAAATTAATAAATTCTGAAGTTTTATATATATTGATTTAATTTTTTTTGATATTGGGGGACTATTAGCTACTTTATTTTTGTAAGTGAGAAAATAAGAGTTAGAAAAATTCTTGAACAAGGTTATGAATTTGTCCTTAAATATTCTATGGTATTCCCCCCTCCTCCCTGTCTTGCAGGTTTTGCTTTACATTCTAATGCTTGAAATCAAAATTATTCCTTTTCAAGGGGGAATTAATATGTCAATGAAATTTCCAATTATGATCTCTATATTTCTTGTGTACTAAGGCAATTTTTTTTTTTTTTTTTTTTTTTTTTGTAAATATTTTTTTTAAAAAAATTGTTGATCTTGCCTTTTGTCAAACTATGCAATATCTTTCTAACTTCCTTCCATCTATCTTGCAGATCTGCCCTTGGTGCATTTAAATGTCGCATTCTATATGCAAATGTGTCTTTTGATCGTATCCTACTACAAGTATTTTATAAAATTATTAAACTGTGCTGTCTCTCTTTCTTTGATAAGGAAAATTTCCTTAACGTTTTCTAGATATGGTTGGCTGGCGCACATCTTCAGTTAGGAGAGAAGATGAACTTCCCAAGGTAATTTAATGTGTTTATTTCTTTCTTGACTCTTGCATGTGATCTTGTCATGACTTGCAAACCTGGAAATTACGATGTTGTTTATATAGCTGCTAAACTTTGGCGTTTAGCCTGGAAGTTTGCAACTATTATGGTATATGTATCAGGAACTTGGGTAGAAGATTTTTTTTTTTCTTTTTGTCGCTCTATTCGCCTCTGCAACATTTAATTCTGTGACTTAATGTTCTGTGCTTCTGTCTATTAGATTGTAATTGCCAGAGATCAATATATCTATTGATTTTGTGAACAGGGAAAGTATGTAAATGGAACCTGACATAGTGTTTGAACCTTGGATAAGATGTTGACCAATTGTTTAACCATATACAACCAATGCTCAAATATGGGATGCAATTAGTACAGGGGATTTTTGTTATCACCCCTCTTTATTCAAGTCACATCTGTGCTTAAATGGTATCCTATTTTATTGGTTCTTTAAAGTCTTTGAAGTCGTACATGTAAAAAAAAATATTGTAGTTGCTATTGTCAAAAATTGTAAACCATAATTAATCAACATTTAGCTAACTGTTTTAGTTGCTTTTAGCTGCTCATAGAAAATAATTGAAATTTGGGAAGAGCTTTTCTGGAGGAACCTTTCTTTTTCGTTTTTATTTTTTTAATGGTTCTTTCCATTTGTTTACTTACAAGAGAGATGATACGCTCAACTTATTTTGGTCAGTGAGATGTGTAGATTGAGGAAATCCTTTTACGTATCCAGTTAGTCTTTCACTTAACATCTAGCTGCTTGCTTGTATACATTGTCCTTTTCCCCTGGTTCAACCTCGGTGTACTGTTATTCCTTTTCCAGCCTCCTCAGCGATCTTTGGATGGTTACAAGCATGTTGTAGATGTTGAGTATTGTCCCCCAGTTTCGTCTGAGGGTCCCCAATTTGCTCCAGAAGTTGCCAAAGCAAAGGAGGCTGCACAGACTGAACCTAGCACTCAAAATACTGTTGAATACCATGAACTTGTGGAAGGTAAATCAGTGGAAATTATATTTTCTTGAAAGGAGTAAATTAAATAATCTTTCATTGAATGAATTGTATTCATTGATGAAAATTTTCTTATTGGATTATGCATTCATAGTTGTAACTGTTTGTGTACGTTAATATGTATGAGTAGTCTGTTTGTCTGTGCAGAGGAAATGGTACGTGGCTTACAGAGAGTGGGATGGAAGAAAGTTGATGTCAGCTTTCATTCTGCAGTGTGGCCCTTCTTTGCTCATAACAATATACATGTACTAGCATCAATTACTTCAATTCTGATCATGTATGTTTGGTGACCAATTCCTATTTCTGCTGTGTTACAATTTCCTATTGTTTTGTTCAGGTAAAAAACGAATGGTTTCATAATGCTGGTACTGGTGTTGTAAAACATGTTGCTGACAGCCTGAAGCAGCAAGAATCTTCATATCTCACTGCCAACTTATAATACCGAGAATTGTAAGTACCCTAAGTGCCCTTCAAAGCCGACTCAAGACCAATATAGTGGGAATGTGGGATTTCTTACTTTACCCGTATGGATTCTAATTAGAAGTAGGTCTATGTAGACTTGCATACCAAGCAAAGCTTGGTGGAGTTGGTGGAGAACTCACCTTGTGACTTTGAGGTCACGAGTTTTCGAGTCCCACTAACTACAAAATGCTTGGGAGTAGGAGATTCCCTTACCTCCCCCTCTACTCTCAAGCGATGACCTGCGGAGCTGGCCGGCTAAACCTATGAGAGGTGCCGGTTAAGTAGGGTCCTTCATCTTATCTTAAAAATAAAATAAATGTAGACTTGCATCCTTTGCATTTAGCTTGTTGGCTACTAGGCCTACTACATCTGTGTAAATTGCAGAGTTGCAGGGTGAGGTTCATGGTATTCGATGGACATTGTCTCCATCTTGTCTCTGGTTCTAATCACACCTCTAATCACAACCGAGTATTGGACATATGCTAATTTGGTGCTACTCTTGCTCTAATCTATGTGATTTTCCTTCTTGAGTGGGCTGTTATGTGCATTTGTAATTTTTTGTGGTTATGTCACTGTTTGCATTCAACCATATGATGAAATCTACCATTTGTATCACAAACCTATTATGAGATAATTTCTTTCCATAAGCCTGTGAATGGCTGGCTGTTAGGAAAAATTTAGTACAGAACATGAGCTATTCAAGTAACTAGCACTCTCTTGCTCTTGCAGTTCAAAGTGTGCAGTAACACGTGTGCTACGGTGCTAGCTTTTTAACATCTTTTGAGCCTAAAATGAAGAATGGAGTTAAGCGATTCTTATATAATCGAGATTGAAATGTACCTATACGATTGATGTAAAATCCTCTGGGAAATATAGGAAGAATGCTTGGTTATGTCTTCCCCTCTCCCAATATATTCTTATCCACATTTTCCTTCGTCGTGGAATGCCTACTTGTGATACAATTATTTGATTGCCTTGATTAGGCAATTGTGAACTCTCGATGTAAATTGTTTATTACTGGTTGACATTTATGTAAAGGCTGTACTATTTTAGCTCAATTGGAAGTCGATTGCCATTTAATGATGATTGTGTTCTTTTTAATTGAATTTTCTTTTGAATAATTTTAATAAATGTATTAGGTATTGATTACAGGAAAAAAAAAACAATAAAAATCCTTTGATGTTCCCATATTTTGAACAACTTTTTACACCCTTTGGATAATCTTTACTACATCACTGAACATCCGCTAGGGTTATCATCATTGAACATGATGAATGCATCATCGCCATTATCGACTAAAGGAAGAGGATCAGAAGTACGTTCATGGACGATGTTACCATTCTTGTGGTGTGAGGTAGGATTAGGCCGGTAAATGAATGACCTGTGTTGTTCATAGAACTTATTGAAATCTTGAAATTGAGGATTATAAGGCATTGTCCATGGCTCAGCTCTAAGTCCTGTTTTCATGATCGCTTTATGTATTTTCTTTTGTTCAGCCCACCCTGTGACAGTCACTTTTTGCATAGGTATGTCGATTTCAACATTGTTAACTCCTGAAATTTTCGAATACCATTTAAAAAAAAAATGTACTGTAGTATATATTATTCGGTATGTTATGGCTGCAGTTTACATTTTGTTAAGTAAAAGTATAAAAAAAAAAAAAAAAAAAAAAAAAAAAAAAGCAAAAGTAGTTTAAGGGAGGGATCATACCATCTAGCTTAAAGAGAACTTTCCTCAATTTGTTCTCGCATCCTGAGCAATCAATACCAACGCGAAACTCCACGATCTGATGTAAAAGAGATAAAAGAACACATGTTTTACAAAGAGGTTTATAAGAACATGCATCAATGCATGAAAGTCTAGTCAAATACAAGCTCAAGTTCATGCATGCTAAAACTAAAAGGTGATAGATAAGATAATCCTCCAATAATCTATTAATCAAACACCTTCTATTTCTTCAATATGGAACAACTACTTCGTATTTAAACTTACTCGTGGGTTATTTTTAACAAATTCTTTACTAATAGACTCTGGAATTCATTTCTTGGTAGCAAAAGTTATTTTGTAGAGTTAGAAATATATAGGTTCATATGTTTAACCACACAACTAAAACAAGCCTACTACACGAATATGAGAGACGAAAAAAAGGTGAGAGAAAGGCAATTTGAACTTACCGATGACATTTGCACGTCTACCAAATCAAGTTTCAACTCAAGTATGATTTTTCAGAAGCAAGTTATTTGAGTAATGCATAAGAAAGCATATATAAGCTTATATAGTAGTACATTACATGACATTTTCACACATTTCTTCCTAGAACAAGAAAATGACGTAGTTAATAGCTAATATATAACACTCGTAATGTCGTAATACCGACCAAAAATATAAGATCATTTAGATAAGTAGTATCCCTGTCATTTATTTTTCTTTTTCTGGAAGCTAGTATCAGTATCATGATTTATTTAATTTTATGTTTGTTTTCAAATAACAAGTTGAAGTTATAGTAGCCTTATTGGAAATTACATGGAAAAAGTGCTATAGACTTTGAACAAGTTTAGTCAAGCAATTAAGCTAGAAAGTCAAATCTTGCCAAAAGTTTAAATTAGTAATGTAGTCTGTGACATTTTAATTTCTTTTCTTATTATTCTTCTTAGAATTGACACGTTAATATGATAATTATTAACATTAAATATCTTATTTATAAATTATAAAAAAGTTAATATTATGAAGATATATATTTTAACACAAATCCAGTGTCATTTTGCATAATATAAAAAAAAAAGGAAATAATGGTGAAATTTACATATGTGAATATGTTAATAGAAGGCGGTAATGCAACGATTGTTGTTAAATGTTAATAATCCATCAACCAAGGGTTATTTAGTTTCTATAAGAGATAATATCTTAGTTAGGCTAGTATCTTAGTTATTTTAATCTAGCTTGCTAGACAATTATGGAATTAAACAATTTAAAAACAGATCGAGGGAGTTGAAAAGATGCAATGCTAGCTTGTGTCATTCTATGTAAGCAATGCGTAAGTGTTTGTTGAATGAATGAATGCGTGAAAGTTTATGGTTCATATGCTTCTGTAAAAGCAATGCGCAACTCTTCTAATGAATGTCAACACAAGTTTTTCTTTACCATAAAGTTAACTTACTAATCCAAATTTAAGTTAGTACGTCCTAGTGTATTTTTATTATTGTTACGTATGTGGCCTCATCATTTCTACTCCGAATTAAATCTAAAGTGAAGAACACATTTGAAATTAAAGATCTTTAAGTTGATGACTTTTCAAAACATATAAGACATATCGTGTACCAAAGTAAGAAAATTAAGGTTATCCAATACCCATAATTGAGAAAGATGAAAAAGGATTATTATGACTACAATATATGCCCTCGTACCAACCTGACTCATGTCCATTTTTTAGGTATTTGTGAAACAAAATTACTGGTAAATTGGTAATGGGAGGACAAATATTTCACACCATAAATTGCGGGTGTGATGCATCACACAAAGACTGTTTATTGTTTGATAGCCCGAAAGGTTGAAGAAAATCGTGGTATTTTCCTTAACATAAACTCTAAATCTTGCGTAATATTTGTTTAAACTTGTCTAAGTCTTGCTAGTAGCAGCTTAAGCTACAATCAACTAATGGAAAATCCATGTGCGATGATTCAATGTCTAGCTATTATATAAACGGGAATTCTCTTGCACATTGCTCAGCAAACAACTTCAATCTACAATTAAATACAGTAATTCAAACTATCTTTAAATTCAATATCCTACTAAGATTTCTGTAGTCAAAAGCTTAAAATGGCAAAACCTTTGAAGATCTTAACCCCACTCTTTCTATTTATCTCAATACTAATCATCTTGATCCAAGTCACACCTGCTAAAGCAAAGTATAACCAGACAGAATTCATAAACGAGGTCCTAGAAGGGCATAATGCTGCCAGACAAGCAGTGGGGGTGTCGCCTCTGAAGTGGGAAAATTTGCTTGCTAAATATGCAAAGATATACTCAAGGCAGAGGCGACACGACTGCAAACTGATTCATTCTTCCAGTCCATTCGGGGAAAATCTATTCTGGGGTTCAGGGAAACGGTGGATGGCAAAGGATGCAGTCGCAGCATGGGTGGCAGAGAAGCAATGGTATAACTACGGTAACAACAGTTGTAGTAGTGGATATGCCTGTGGGCACTACACCCAGGTTGTATGGAAGCAAACCAAATTGGTTGGATGCTCAAAGGTTAAATGTGACAGCGGGGATTCAATCATTACCTGCGAGTACTATCCTACAGGAAATTATGTAGGGGAAAAGCCATACTAAAATCATGATACATGCTTAATGTCTGTGTGTTCATGAGTTTTGAGTGAAATGCATTATATTTCCAGTAATACCTTTGATAGTGATATTATATGTGCCATATTTTGTGTATTATATGTTGTGTAATCAGTGAGAAAAAGGCTGACTGGCTGATACATAACAGCAGTAAGAAGTTGCAAGGAGTCATAAGATATACCAAGAAACATGAACGTATTGTACAGAAAAATATTGACAATCTTACTTCGTTTATATATTGGATATGAAAGCTTAGTTTGTCAGAAAACTTACCCTACACCACATACAAAATCTTATACTATACTAGTTGCTATACAATTTACCCCAAAAATGGCCTATTAGTATTAACTGTAATAAGAAAATTTCACCTTCTTAAGCCGATCATAATTAAGTGCCTGAATGAATCTAAACAAATTGTTTTAGACGAGACCAGATTTAAACACATACAATCCTAACAAGGCATTGTAATGGCCCTTCTCAATTTCTTCCTCTTTCACCTGATGCAAGAGGAGTGACTCAATGATAAAATCTTCCCAATCAATAGTATCAGGATCTTTCTTCCTCTTCTTTCGACTATTAACATGTTCTACAGTGCTTATATCAACAGTACTACATGATTGAGCATCCAACCCATTATGCACGATAGCATTACTGGATTTAACAATCGGGGGATTAATAATACTATTGATGCGCCTCTTAGCTTCTCTTATCTTTTCCCGCCTCTTTTTAACTGCATTACAACCACGAATATAAGACGGTGGAAGAGCATCCAATCCAACATCTTTCTCCAACAACTGCTCCAGCAAAAGCTTTTCACACATATCTGACCTCCCACTCCACCACTCATCAAAAAGTTCAACATCTAACCCACTTAGTCTATCTCCATAGTCAAATGTATCATTCTTATTCGTTAAATTACGATTCAAAAACTCAGCCTTGAACTTTGAGTAAACTTTAGCCAATTCTCCATGTGAAACCTTCAAATTCTCCAATCCTTCTGTTCCATTTAAACATCCCAAACCATTATCAACAGCACTATCACCACCATCAATCCCTTTATACTCAACTTCCTTACTCAAACACTCTTCAACTACATCACCCAAATCAAACCCCGAATTCCCATCCGAAAACTTTGATTTCTCTCTACCTCGATCCTCCATCGACTTCATCTCCATATACTTCAATACAAAAGGTGCATTCTTCACAATATTCTTAACATTCACATCACTCCCCCAAGGCAACTTTTGTGCAACCTCCACCATTGCTTCCAAAAGCTCCTTATACCTTAACTTACAAGTCCTAATAGCCACATTCATCTCCTTCGCCACATCCTCAATCCGAACCTCAATCCCATTCACCGCTGCCACAAAAACCAACACCGCCACAGCAACAGGCCCCGGCCTCCGGCCCGTACTCAAAAACCACTTAATAGCACATTGTATCACAAAAATCCCCTGTTTCGCCATCAAATCAATCTTCTCCTCCTCAACCCCACTAAACCCAGAAAACCCTTTAATCATCTTCTCCAACAAACCCACCAAATCAAATTCCTTCAATTCTAACCCTAAAAAATCAACTACCCTGTTCACCATTTTCCCCATTTCATACAATTCACAACCCACAGCCCCAATAACCTCGGAAATTGGCAATGCTTTATTATTCTGACGCATAACAATGTAACAACAAGCACCAATAAGAACAGAAAACCAATTACCTAATCCAAATTCACCATCAGTTACCTTCTCAATCATGGATTTGACTTCCCGGGTTCGGGTATCGCCGAAGCTGAGGCGAAATGTGATGTCCTCAATCATCTGATTGGATTCATAGAGCTTTCTTTCCTTGTAAGAGTAATCGGTACCGGTACCGGAAGTTCCGACACGAACAAAGGTGCCTTGAGGGCCGGAAACACCGCCGAAAGTATGCTGGTAGTCGTCGAAATCTTGGACAATACCGCAAGATGAGCATACTGTTCCGCCGGTGACGGAATCGGTGACGAGTGCCTTGGATTTGCAGCTTCGGCAAGCTGCCATTGATGGAAAATTGAGGTGAGAGAATATCTTTTAGGGTTTACTGATTTTAGGTTGAAGTTGAGAATTTATAGGTTTTGTGTTTCTAACCTCTATGAATAAAACGATGTCGCTTTTCACCCAAACCCCATAATCACCCCATCCGCTGGGGGTTAACCATTATTTTCTTAAAAAAAAAATTTAGTTTAGTAAAAATAAATTTAGTTCAATAAAAATAAGTTTAGTTTAGTAAAATTAAATAGAATATATATAATAGAAAATCAGTAAAAATAATTTCAGTTCAGAAAAAATAATTTCAGTTCAGTAAAATTAATTTCTAGCCAACTGATTAATTTTCATAAGTCTTCATTTGTCTTCTCTAAGACGATCCTATTATGAGAAAGAGGCAGTCAACTTTTTTTTTTGACATGTACCTAAGTTCTTTTTGGAAAGATTTATGTGTTACGCTGTTTAACTTTAGATCTTTTATGAACCACAATCGTCAACAATTAATCATTAAAGCTTAACATGAAATGAATAATTGGTCTGCTAACACAGTTTCTAAAGCTGGGAAGATTGTGCTTGTTGAAATTAAATTGGAAGCATTGCCTTTCCTTTGTCCAGTGGCCATATAATAATCAAACAAACAATTGAACTCAGTACCATTATCACTTTGAACAATTTTGATGGTTTGAGAAAAATGTCTATTAACCATATCAATGAATTGAAAGACATAAAAATCTGAAATACTTCAGTTTTATCAACATAAAAGCTCAGATCTAAAATGGCTTCCACCACCATCACAACCACCATCTTCCCTCCGATCAACACGAAGTCCTTGCCACCACCACCACCATCTCTGTCTTCGTCATCACACCTTCCTTCCTCAACAACTGTCTTCTCTTCCTGTCTTCATCTCAGCCTCCACCACTATTTTCGAGGTCATAATGCCGCTTCGCGGCGAAACAAAAAGACATCCTAGTAGCAAAGAGTGTCAATTAGGGCCATATCAACCCCTTAGGGGTAGCATCTCCTTTGCACGCCATACCCGACCATTTAAGGGTTGTAATAGCTAAAGCTATGCTTTTGGAAATAGACAAGATTGAAGCTCCTTGCTTGGGTTCGGTTATCATTAAATGTATAGGGCCACTTTGGGTATTGATGTGAACATACTTGCATAAATGGAAACTTCGGGTGTAGAAGAAAAGCCCAATCTGATACGTCAAAAAAAGAAGCCGATGCCATAAACGTGTGCCCAATTACTAACCAGGAGGTGGTGTTCATCAAGCCCTCTCTCCAGACTTAACCTAGACAGCGTCTTGAACTTTGGGATCGCATCCTGTATGTCGGCCTCAAGTTCCTCGGCTAGGCAACTACTAATCCTTCTTCTCTTCCTTCTTTCCTTTCTTCTAAAAAAAGTCTTTTTTTCCTGACTTGTTCCAAGTAAGTGAATTGGCATTACCTTACTCTAAAGAGCAAGTCAATTTCATTGCCTTCGCCTTCGGCTACTACCGGCTGGAAAGGCTTGGCTCAACATTGGATTTGTTTGAAAAGAACCAAGGATGGCATTCATTCAATCAAATCTTTTATGCTAACTCAAACTAATTACTGTCTTTGGAAAGAGTTTTTCCCCGCATTCTTTCCAAAAACTTCGCTTTAGCGACTCGCTACGCCCCTTTCTACTGGTTTTTGAAAGCTTAAAATCTCCTCTTCCCCATATTTCTTATCCTTCTCGCATCGGTTCTGCATCAGATGATGAGCCCATGCGAAAACTTTTTCTTTTTTTTTCGCTTGATAGGTAGGCTATTAGATTGAGTCGAAAGCCTACCAAGGCATAAAGATTCCGATTTGAGCGAGAGCCCGAACGAGGGACACGAGAAACATCTTGATCGAAAACTTATAAACTTTCCACATAAGCAATTACATGTTAATAATGTATCATTTATTAGAAAAGTGTTTGTAGCAAGATTCGAACCAAATAATAAAGGATTTGCTATAGCTAGAGGAGTGGGGGCCCAGATTGTATCTCGACTTCCCACTAATTTTTTGTAGATTGTATGACTTTGTCTGTTTTGGATTAATAATAATAATAATAATAATAATAATAATAATAATAATAATAATAATAATAATAATAAAAGTTTTTTCTCCCAATTCATGAGCCAATTCTCGTTTCAGATCACACTGCAATCACCTACTATTCCAACCCTATGTCTAGGAAAGCTAACAGACCGTACCAAATCGAGAATTGGTGTCTCCATTACTCGGAAGTTAAAGGAATTGTTCAAGATTGTTGGAGAAGAGAGGTCCAGGGTTCTCCTATGTACAGGCTCACAACAAAGCTAGGTAAGGTAAGAATGTACCTTCAACGTTGGTGTTTAGATAACAAAAAAATTTGGGGCATAAACTGGAGAAATATTTCTAAAGGATTTGGGTATGGTGGGAGACAACATTGAGTCCCTACAAGGAGGGAGATACTACATCGACCAAATTAATTCCATCATCCCAGAATGCAAAGTAAGTTTTGAGTATTGGAAACAACGAATGAAATCTAAGTGGATCAAATTTGGTGATTGCCCCACTCGTCTTATGTATAGAAGGGCAAAACAAAAGCAACTGCAAAAGGAAATCCTTACCTTAAAGAATAGTGAAGAGGTTTGGATCGAAGGGCAGAATGAAGTGGAGGAAGTGGTTCTCAACTCGGTTAAAGAGATCTTCAATCCCAAGGTGGAGGATAATCACGAGGAGAATGTGGACTTATTACTTCGGCAACTTCATATCCAGCCTATAGACAAGACGGATAGTGATTGGCTTGACAGGCCCTTCACTACCCAAGAAATAAGGAAAGCTATGTTCGATTTGCATAAAACAAAATCTCTAGGTCCGGACGGGTTTACCGCTGATTTTTTCTAGCTCTACTGGGAAGAAGTGGGCCAACTTGTAGTTGAAAGCGTACAACAATTCATGAAATCGGGTAATATGCTTAAAGAATGGAACCAAACACTTCTCGTCCTCATTCCAAAGGTTAAGGTTCCAGAAATTGCTAGTCAGTTTAGACCGATAAGTCTCTGCAATACAGTCTACAAGTGTATTTCTAAGTGCCTGGTTAACCGGCTCAAAAGAATCCTCCCTGGCATAATTTCGGACTACCAGCATGCTTTCATCCCAGGGAGATATATGGAAGACAATATTCTTTTGAGTCATGAGCTCATGCATCTAATAAATTCCAGGAAAAACTCGAACTTTACAACAGTCAAGATTGACATGTCTAAGGCTTACGACAGGGTTGACTGGACTTTTCTCACTAAGGTTCTTTAATTGTACGGGTTTTCAAATAAGTGGATAAGATTAATCTCTCAGTGCGTTTCAACAGTATGCTACAAAACAGTCATTAACAGGTGCACATCCAACCCGTTCCTCCCTAAGTGTGGATTAAGACAGGGAGATCCCCTCTCCCCTTATCTCTTTCTCTTTAATATGGACATTTTATCTAGAATGCTTACCCTGGCTGAGGATATAAACCAAATAAAAGGCCTGAAGGTTTCAAGGAGATCACCGGCTATCTATCATCTCTTCTTTGCGGATGATGCCATGCTTTTCTTCAAGGCTACTGAAAACTCATGTTTGGCTGTAAGTGATATTCTCCAGAGATTTGGTAAAGCTTCGGGACAAAGGTTAAACCTCCAAAAATCTTTTGTTAAGTTTCCTCAGGGAATGCCGGAAGGGATTAAATACTCTCTCAAAAGGATTCTTTCTATGCCCGAAACCCAGAATGTGGGTCTACACCTGGGGGCACCAATTGATATACAAGGTAAGAAAAAGCTTTCCTTCCAATACCTCGTCGACAATGTAACTGAAAAAATTGTCTCTTGGGTTCCCTTGCATCTCTCACAGTCAGCAAAGTTAGTCCTCATTAATACAATTTTGGTTAGTATTTCGGCCCATGTCATGAAATGCCTCAAGCTTCCCCAAAGCATAACAAATAAAATCGATTCCCTCATCGCTAGGTTCTGGTGGGCGAACAATGGAGACAAGGGAATGCACTGGGTAAGGAAGGAAGTGATTCAACTTCCTAAGAGTATGGGGGGACTAGGCATTAGAAGCACCTCGAAACTCAACGATTCTCTACTCTTCAAACAAGCCTCGAGGATGCACCTTAACCCTCAGCTCCTCATCTCTAGGGTACATACTAGCTTCCAACCATGTAGAATTTGTAACACCTCTAGGGCCTTCAAAAGGGCCGGAATCCCCTCTATGGGACGTTCAGGGCTACAAAAGGTGGTGGATGTGTTTAAAGAGGGGTTTGTCTGGAAGGTCGGAAATGGAGAAAACATAAAGGCTATTAGCATGCCCTGAGTAAAAGGAAAGATCCCAACTGCCAACTCAAGCCAAACTCTTGGGGCCTCTTTGAGATGGATGGTAAGCGACCTCATCAACAGGGACAGTGTCTCTTGGGACCCGGGCAAGGTTAGACAGTGTTTTGACTGGAATAGCTCAAGAAATATCCTCTCTATGGAATTACCTTCGAATCTAAAGGATGATTTCCTATATTGGAAGTACCATCCTTCTGGGAGATACAGTGTAAAAACTGGATACTACTTTCTATCCAGAAACCAAATGATGAACGACTCTCCCCTCTCTACAAAGGATGAGAGATTTGCAAAACTCATTTGGAGTTTGAACATTCAACCAAAATGGAAGATCTTCCTATGGAAACTCCTTTATGATGGCATAGCAGTAAAGGTAAACCTTGTTAACAGGGGCATAGCAGTAGATGCTACCTGTGATGTTTGTGGTTTAGAGTTGGAAGATAGTCAACACTTGTTCCGTTTCTGCTCTCTGGCAAAGTATGTCTGGGATAATAGTCCTATGACTGTTTGCTGTGATATTACTGGATTCCAGTCCCTGCGAAGTTGGATCCAGCACTTTATCCTGCTGTTTTATAGCGAGGATGGCAGACATAGTACCCGTATTATCTGGTTCATTGAAAATTTATGGGGCCTATGGACGGCAAGAAACACGAAAGTGTTTAAAGGAATTGGGGTCACAACGGCAACAGTTGTAGAACTGGTTAATTTAGCACTCAAGGATCATGAGGTGTTCAATGAAGAGGATAAGACCCGGGATATGGGTGGAATAGAAGCGAGAAGAGAACCCACCTTACCTCCTGGTTTCAACCATGTACACCTAGGAATACAGAAAACCAGTTTTGCTGACTTTGTTTTGTAGGTCGATGGCTCTTGGGATAAAGCTTCTACTAGAGCGGGCATTGGCTGGGCTTTTATTTGCCCTAATCAAGCAGACACCAACGATGGAGGAGGGAAGTATGGGACCGCTTTCTCGGCGCTACAGTGTGAGGCATGGGCATGCCTTGAAGCTCTAAAGTGGGCTAATAGGCAAGGAAAGGAGGAGGTTCTTGTTCTCTCCGATTCAGTGTTACTGCTTGAAAATCTAAGAAGTAACCAAGGGAAGGAAATTTCGATAGCTTGGCTAATTGAAGATATTAGGGTAATCGCTCTTAATTTCAGAAAATGCTCTATAATTAAGGTTACAAGGGAGCAAGTGCAACGGGCTAATGATATCGCAAATACGTGCCGTTGTACTCTCTCTAATTTAGTTCTTTAACTGTTACTTTGCTGATGTAAAAAAAAAAAAAAAAAAAAAAGAAAGTGAGTATTAGTAGGGTAGGGAGAGTGTGAGACAAATAAGGAGGGAGTAAAAAAAGATGGTGCATGTAGCAGGATAAGAGTCCAAACGATATTTTTATTTACTCCCTCTAACTATTAGTTTTGCGATTTTAGGAATATAGTGTTCTTCTACATATGATTTACAAAAACATATGGTTCTTTAAATTATCAAATAATCTCCAGAAGAACATTGTGGATTTGATTTTTATGGTCATATTCAATTAATGATTCTTTTAATCTGTGTAATACGGAGTAATGATAATAAAACTCATAAATTTCAATCACTATATCCACAATCATCTAAAAAACCCCGAGACATCGTCCGGGTCACTAACTAGTTAGTTCCTAAAAAAAAAGTAAACTTATTAGGATTTTTTTTTTTTGACAAAAGCGTTAGGATTATTAACAATTAATACACTTTACCTAACTTGTATGTAAAAAAAAAATAAAAAAAATAAAAAAAAAATCACTATTGCATTGGCTTTGAAAATTGAAAATAGGATAATGCATGGTGTACCCGGGTAAACAAAAAAAAAAGGCGGAAAGAACATACAGTGTTTGATAAAGAACATACAGTGTTTGATAAAAAATATACTTGTGTTTGACAAAGAACATACCTTTAATATGTTCTTTGAGTGTGATCACTGTATTCTTTGGGTATAAATATATGTTCTTTACATTATAACTTATGTTATTTAACATATGTTGATTAAACATACATGTTTTTTGGGTTTCAATAATACAAATTATGTTTTTCGAATTTGGCTTGTATGTTCTTTAAGATAGTGATGCACAAATTCTATTTTTATTATCATATGTCATATTTAAATTACTTTTATTATCATATGTTCTTTGAGTTTGATTAGTGTATTCTTTGGGTATGAACTATATGTTCTTTACATTATAAATTATATTATTTTAACATATGTTATTTTGAAATTTGAAAATGAAATCTTGATTTTTTTTTTCTTAAGGTTGAATTATTTTTACTAAACTGAACTTATTTTTGCTGAACTGAAATTATTTTTACTTAATATTTTTTTTAAGGTGAACTGAAGAGGGCCTAACTATTAGTTTTGCGATTTAGGAATATAATGTTCTTCTACATATGATTTACAAAAACATATGGTTCTTTAAATTATCAAATAATCTCGAGAAGAACAATGTGGATTTGATTTTTATGGTCATATTCAATTTTTGATTCTTTTAATCTCTGTAATACGGAGGAATGATAATAAAACTCATAAGTTTCAATCACTATATCCACAATCATCTAAAAAACCCCAAGACATCGTCCAGGTCACTAACTAGTTAGTTCCTAAAAAAAAAAGTAAACTTATTAGGATTATTAACAATTAATACACATAACTTGTACAACAGGTCTTGTATGGATCCGGTCTATAATAAATTATTGTAGACCTTAAATTTAACACTCTCAAATAGTCATATTCTTAATGGTATAATCACTTTTTTGGATGATATAATTATCTTGTTGTGAGTCATAATTTGAATGATATAATCATATTTTAAATAATTTAGTGAGATGATATAATTATCTTTTGGATGATATAATTATTTTTCGAATGATTTAATTACTGTTTAATACTTTTTTTATTGATAAATTCACTTTTTGAATGATATATTTACATAATCAATTTTGGATTATATAATTAATCACTTTTGTAATGATATAATCACATTTCGTATGATATACAAGATGGTTGGGTGCACAACAAGTTATTGTGCACCGAGTCTATTCTAGACTGTACCTGTATGTAAAAAAAAAACCTCACTATTCCATTGGCTTTGAAAATGATATGGCTTTGAAAATTGAAAAAAGGATAATACACCTCGGTGCACCATGCGCATGGTGCACCCTAGTAAACAAAAAAAAAAGGCGGAAAGAATATACAGTGTTTGATAAAAGAACATACGTGTGTTTGACAATAAACATACCTTTAATATGTTCTTTGAGTGTGATCAATGCGTTATTTGGGTATAAATATATGTTCTTTATATTATAACTTATGTTATTTAATATATGTTGATCAAACATACATGTTTTTTGGGTTTCAATAATACAAATTATGTTCTTCGAATTCGGCTCATATGTTCTTTGAGATAGTGACGCACAAATTTTATTTTTATTATCATATGTAATATTTAAATTACTTTTATTATCGTCTGTTCTTTGAGTTTGATCAGTGTATTTTTTGGGTATGAACTATATGTTCTTTACATTATAAATTATGTTATTTTTATTTTGAAATTTGAAAATGAAATCTTGATTTTTTTTTTCTCTTTTTTTTAAGCTTGAATTATTTTTAGTAGAAAATAATATTTGAATGATATTGGTAAAGAACTAAAATTATTATGAGAAGTTGAATTATTGGAGAGAGAGGAAACTATTTTTGGGGGCAATGATATTGGTAAAGATTTTTTCCGTTAATATGTAATTTTTCATGAAATTTTAATAACGTTTTTATCAAGTTCTTTTTGTTATATCTTTATGTTCTTTGGTATGCATGTTTTTGTCAAATACAAACATGTTCTTTGTCCAACACATATATGTTCTTTGTGAAACACAAGATGTTTTTTCTGCCTTTTTTTTTTTTTATTTACCCGGCTGTACCATATGCATGGTACACCCAGGTGTACAGATTAGGCATTGTTTAATAGGTCACGATTTTATCCCTTTTATTTTGGTTTTAATAAAGTTCATGGTTAAAATTAATGAAGATGGTGTTAGAAGTAAAAGTATAAAAGACTTAAAGGTCATGACACAAATGGTTTGTTGCAACCTTTTTTCCATTTTTGCTGGGAGTTACCATAGGCACTGTCTCAATATGTCGTCCCAGTCATCACCCAAAAAATGAGCACGACTAATAGGAAGTAGAATCGCGGATTTTGAAGCTTGTAAAGTTGTTAGTACTAAGATAAATATATAAGAAACAGTAGTGGTAGCATTAACATCATATCACCAGAACGCATCAGTGAAAGCCTTACACATATATACGAAGCATATCCAACAGGCACATCAAAACATGCTTCAAAGCAATTATGTTCAACTAAATCAAAGTATCAACTACATAGTTCATGAACACAACTCATATTCGGCATTCATCTATTCGGCTTTTTAGAATCTGAAAAGCAGGATTAACCCAAGCACCACAGCTACATTGCATGCCAGCCCAGTTGAAAGAACCTAATCGAGACTTGCATCCCATGCAATAGAGCTTCTCCCAAACATATCCTTCTTGAACTGGTGTAAAAATTATTTAGGATCTTCATAAATTTGGGATTCATGATTACTGTATTGAAAAAAATAAGACAAAACTTAAGCCAATACTCTTACGGCCTTACCTGTTTGCATCCACTTCAAAGGCTCGACAAATATGGCAGAGCATTCAGGCAATGAATTGGACTCACCCTTCTTTTTTCTCCATCCAAAGCTTTCCTCTCCCTTACCTTGCTCATGTGAAACTATACTCTCTTGTGAAGCAACAATTTGACGGCATTTCTTACAGCGATAAATCAGCTTAGTTTCCTCATCAGGATGTACTTCAGAGCTATTGTCAGAGCTAATGTCAGAGCTAATGGCTTCCGTCATTATATGAAAGCAGGTGATGCTTTTTAACAACCTAACAAGTTAGGAAAGAAGACAGATATGTTGAGAAAGATATCCGAAGAAGTCAAAACAGCAGCTCTTCCACAACATTAGCAAAATTCAAGCCATTCTCGGGAACATGTAAGATGCAACATCAGCTAACAAGCAATAAACACTCAATCAATACAGGAATATGTGCATCTGTTATTCGCTTAAATAGTGTTTAAGATAAGTAAGAAAAATTCAGCAGCTTCACTTCTTCCTCATCATAGCATATATGTCATCTTGCTTCAGTGGTCTTAAAGATGATTAGTCCCAAAGAGAGAACTGATTTATACAAATATGTGCAGAAGATAAATTATCAGGGGAAAAAAATCTGGAAAAGCTCAAAAGACTGAAAGTTCTTACACAAAGTTCTGAAACATAAATACTAAGAATGAAGATAAATCAAATACTGCAGAATCTTACGCAAAGTTCTTCTGCAATATAAAGACTGCAGAATCTTCTTAGTCAATAGGCCATTTTGATGTCTTCAACAATATCCATTATATACAATCAAATACTAAGAACGATACAAGATAAATCCAAAAGCTTAATACATAGTATATACTGAGGAAACGATATTATTTGGCCTCAGGTATATTTCAAAATCTGAAGATGCTATAGTCAAAATCCTTCCAAGATCATTTCCTCCAAATTATTAAAACCACATCAAATGGAAAAATATGTTTAATACTGCCTCTAAGTTAGTTTCAGAGCAACAACACTGGTCTCATTCAAGCCAAGCAAAGCTTGTGCAACAAACTATCGTTTGATAATATTATTCTCCTCCATTTGCAGCTTGTACTCAATGCTCAATTCATCCATCTAACATACATGTAAACATGTTAAAACAGAGATTCTATAACTCAATTATGCCGTTCTTTGACTAGAAAAGAAGGATATCAAACCAAGTACAGCACAAACACTAAGAGACAAGCTTACACTCTAAATATTCTCTATAATTGACCACAATATTCCACTGAAACCTACTGATCTATGTCGCCATACTGGAACAAAAACAGAGAAACACCAACCACCAAAATCTTTAAAAAAGGAAAGAAAAGAGCAAGATGGAAGAGGCATGGAATACAGTAAACTGGCATCTAGCAGAAAAGTAAGCAATTACAAAACCACAAAGGTCCAACACAAGGGTTTACTTTGTTACTAAAAATATTCAGGGAAGGACCTCGAGAATATGATGTTTTAATCATCTCATACTGGTTACACCTTCCCTTGCTGGCGCGTTGAAATGAAACGGAAACTTTATAATGCAAGAGAAAGTAAATGAGGATACATTATTGTATACAGAAAATACAATCCTCACAGTAGAAGTAAGGAATAATACTAGTATGTAACGACTCCTAAGGTGCACCCCCATGGTATCATCACCTATGAGAGGAGACACAAGAAAGGACTGCAAACTGTTGGGGCATCAGCAGCACACCAACCTTGGTGGGCAGTCACTCACTAACCAAGTGACTGCTGCAGGGGGTTAGGTAGACTTGTAGCAGAGCTTGGCTTTTTGTGCTAGCCTAGCTGGCTTTTTGCTGATTGTAATAGGGTTGTGTACATATAAAAAAGGGGAAGTAGGGATTGGGTCATTAGGTATTTTTTGGTATTCTGAAGTGGCCTGAAGCCACCTAGGAGAGCGGTGACCTAAAGCCACCATTTGTAAGAAAGTTATCATCTTTATTAATCAAGAAGCAGCCCAACTTCCCTCATTTCTATTTGTTCATTTTGATCTGTTTCTCCTAAAGTTAGTGTGAAATATAGACTGAGAGTAGTAGCCGAGCGTCACAAGTGGTATTAGAGCACCGGTTCTGGTGTTTTCCGGCACTAACGACCACCGTTAAAAAAAATAAAAAAATATGACAGTAACACAGCGTTGGACCAGCTATAAGAAAGGATGACAGGGGTTGGCAGAGGATATGAGAATTAACTGAGAGAATGAAGTCTGAGGAGGAAAATCTCAACAACCTCATCTCTAAGAGTCTTGAGGAGACGGTGGCCAAGCTCGACGGTCGAATCGACCAGTTCCGAAAGAACTATGAAGATCAGATGACTATCAACAACAACAATTAGGCGAAGTTCTTCAAGGAACTTCGAGTCTTGGTGGCCAACAACAACCAGCCACGCAACCATGGTGAAAACGACGGCAACAGTGCAAACAACCACAACCACAACCGCCAGCAGTTTGACGGTGGTGGTGGCCAGCCTTTGAGGGTGAGGACCCTGATGGCTGGATTCTCCGTGGTGAGAAATACTTTGAGTTCTACCAGTTAAATGAGAAGCAGATAATGGAGGCCGCCGTAGTAGCGATGGACGGCGATACTCTGAAGAGGTTCCAATGGGAAAATAGGCGGCGACCGGTGCTGAGTTGGGACAATCTCAAAACTCGGGTGCTGAAACAATTCCGGCCAGCCCACCACGGCTCTCTTCACGAGTAGTGGTTAGCGGTGAAACAAGAAACCACCGTCATGGAGTACCGAAAGAAATTTATTGAAACAGCCTCACAAGTGGAAGATGTCCCAGAAAGCTTGAAGATGGGCCACTTCATAAGCGGGTTGAAGGAGGAAGATGGGCCGCGGCGGTTGAAGGACGCAGAAATCCAAGAAAAGAAGGCCAAGGGCCTATGCTTCAGGTGCGATGAACGATGGGAAATCGGTCACTGGTGTAAGAACAAAGAACTAAGCGTTCTCTTGCTGGGTAGGGTAGAATCGGAGGATTATGAGGTCGGAGAGTGTAGTGGCCATGGCGGAGAGGCAGAAGAAGTGGCGCCGGAAATCTCCTTGTGTTCGGTGGTTGGGTTGTCAAACCCTAGAACGATGAAAATTGAGGGGAAAATTGGGGATACGGGGGTGATAGTTATGGTGAACCTGGGAGCCACACATAAATTCATCTCCACCATGGTGATGGGAAAAGTGGGGGTGAAAGCTTCTGGTGAGAGGGAGTTCGGCGTGTCACTTGGGAACGGGGAGTCAGTTTGCGAAAAAAGGGGTATACAGGGGCGTGAGAGCATTTCTCAAAGGGGGCTATGTGGTGGAGGATGACTTCTTACCGTTGCGGCTAGGCAACGCTGACTTAATCTTGGGAGTGCAGTGGTGCGAACTCATGTGATGAAGTTTTAATATGGGGAAAGGGTTGTGACGTTAGTAGGGGATCCGCACCTTGAGCATACTCAAATTTCACTGAAGGCCATGATCAAGACCTTGAGACATGAGGGAGGGGGACTGTGGTTAGAGTTGAACAAGGTAGAAGAGAAGGCAGGAAGGGAAAAAGAGGGTGAAGGACAGACTGAGGTGCCAAAGTGGATGTGTAGGTTAGTGCGGGAGTTTGCTGGGGTTTTAAGGCCACCTGCCACCCTTGAGAGGACACGAACATGCGATCCACGTCAAGGAGGGTAGCAATCCGGTAAGCATAAGGCCGTACCGGTATTCGCAATTTCAGAAAATTGAGATTGAAAAGCTGATTAGAGAGATGTTAATCAAACCATCTACCAGCCCCTTTTCCAGCCGGTGCTACTCGTCAAAAAGGACGGTTACAGGAGGTTCTGTGTTGACTATAGGGCGTTGAACCGAGAAACCATCCCGGATAAATACCCTATACCAGTGATAGACGAGCTCCTCGATGAGCTACATGGGGCTACTGTTTTTTCTAAACTCGACCTCAAGTCAGGATACCACATGATTAGAGTCAAGGAGGAAGACACACACAAAACAGCCTTCCATACGCACGAAGGCCATTATGAATTTCTAGTTATGCCGTTCTTCTTAACTAACGCTCCGGCCACATTCCAAGCCCTTATGAACGGGATTTTTCGCCCTTTCCTAAGAAGGTTTGCGCTCGTATTTTTCGACGATATACTCGTCTATAGTACTGGTGAGGAGGCGCATCTAGAGCAAATGAGGGTGGTTCTGTCTAAGTTGGCCGAATTCCAATTGAAGGCTAAATTCAAGAAGTGTGAATTTGGCAAGCAAAAAGTCGCATATTTAGGTGGAGATAGACTTGGATAAGGTGAGAGCAATGGTGGATTGGCCGAAGCCCCGCAATTTGTGTGAATTACGAGGATTTTTGGGTTTAACCAGGTATTACAAAAAATTTATACTCGGTTATGCTCAAATTGCAAGGCCACTCACAGAGCAACTCAAGAAAGATAATTTCGGGTGGAGTGCTGAAGCCACTGCTGCTTTTGAAAAGCTGAAAACAGCCATGACCAGAGCCCCTGTACTCTCTATACTCTCTATGCCTGACTTTAATGCTTCCGGCTACGGTCTAGGGATCGTACTAATGCAGGAAGGCCGCCCAATTGCTTTTTACATGCAGGAAGGCCGCCCAATTGCTTTTTACAGCAAACTACAAGCTAAGTTGATATACGAAAAAGAATTAATGGCTTTTGCTTGGCCATAAAAATGGAAGCATTACTTGCTTGGGAGACATTTCATTGTGAGTACGGATCAACAAAGTCTGAAATACTTATGGAGCAACGTGAAATTGGAGCAGAATATCAAAGATGGGTCAAGAAGTTAATAGGGTTCGATTTTGAGATTAGATACAAGTCGGGTGCTAGTAATCGGGTGGCCGATGCTCTATCACGGCGGGGAGAAGGAGATAGTCACCTAAATGCCTTAACCACTTGGTTTGAGGTGGACTGGGAGATGGTAGAAAGGGAGATAGAGGAGGATTCCAGCTTGAGGAAGATAAAACAAGGCCTTATGAATGGACAGGGAGACTACCAAGGCTTCGTAATTGAAGGAGGTCAAATGAAGTTCAAAGGGAGGGTAGTAATTTAAGCCGCATCAGCTCTTATTCCGAATTTGATGAAGGTGTATCATGACTCTCCAATCGGGGGGCACCAAGGAGAGACTAAAACTTATCTTAGGATGGCTGCCGAGTGGTATTGGTGGGGTATGAAACGAGATATCAGTGAGTATGTTAGAGAATGTGCACTGTGTCAGCGAAGTAAATATTCCCAACAACAACCGGTTGGGTTGTTACAGCCACTTCCTATACCCGAGGCAATATGGGATGATATGGCTATGGACTTCATTGAGGGTCTTCCATGTTCATTCGGTGTGGACTGCATTTTGGTTGTGATCGATCGACTCTCCAAGTATGTGCATTTTGTGGGACTTAAGCACCCTTTTAATGCCAAAACAGTCGCTGAAGTGTTCATCAAGGAGATAGTCCGCCTTCATGGGTTTCCGGTCTCTATAGTCTCGGATCGGGATCATATTTTTATGAGTATATTTTGGAGAGAATTGTTCAGGGTACAATACTCAAACGAAGTACAGCCTACCATCCCCAAACCGATGGGCAGACGGAGAATGTTAACAAGACGCTTGAAACTTATTTGCATTGCTTTATTCCGAAAACTTGGGCTTCATTGGGATGAGTTCTCATATAATACTTCAGTCCATGCTACAACCGGATTCTCACCCTTCTAGGTTGTTTATGGCAGAGAGCCCCGAAGTTGCTAAAGATTGGAAAAGGCCAAACCCCAGTTCAGAGCTTGGAAGAATGGTTACAGGAAAGAGATCGGATGTTGGAGGATCTTCAAGTGAATTTTTTGAGGGCCCAACAGAAGATGAAAGATCAGGCTGATAAAAGGAGGAGGGAGGAAGAATTTTGGGTGGGAGATAAGGTCTATCTTAAGTTGCAACTGTACCAGTAGCAAACTCTAGCTCGAAGACCGTATGAGAAGCTAGCTCCAAGGTTTTATGGTCCTTTTCAGGTAACTCAACGAGTAGGCAAAGTTGCATACAAGTTGGATCTTCCCAACACTTGCCGTATCCACCCAGTATTCTATGTATCTCAACTCAAGCAGGCTCTTGGCAACCATGTACAAGTCACACCATTCCCACACACCTGACCAAAGAGTTGGAGTTACTAGCAGAACTTGAGGAGGTTCTTGATATTCGATCCACCTGCATCAATCAGAAATCGACCACAGAAATCCTCATTAAGTGGCAGAATCTGCCTGCTATGGAAGCAACTTGGGAAGACCCTGCTGCCATCACAGAGTGCTTCCCTGAGTTCCACCTTGAGGACAAGGTGCGTCTTCTTGGGAGGGTAGATGTAACAACTCCTAAGGTGCACCCCCATGGTATCATCACCTATGAGAGGAGACACAAGAAAGGACTGCAGACCATTGGGGCAAGAGGGGAGTGGGGCATCAGCAGCACACCAACCTTGGTGGCAGTCACTCACTAACGAAATGACTGCTGCAGGGGGTTAGGTAGACTTGTAGCAGAGCTTGGCTTTTTGTGCTAGCCTAGCTGGCTTTTTGCTGATTGTAATAGGGTTGTGCACATACAAAAAGGGGAAGTAGGGATTGGCTCATTAGGTATTTTTTGGTAATCCGGAGAGTAGTGGCCTGAAGCCACCTAGGAGAGCGGTGACCTAAAGCCACCATTTGTAAGAAAGTTTGGGCAGACTTAGAAGTTCACTGATTAATAGCTCCCTAAAGTTTTAGTATTTGAAGGAACATATTGGTTTGACAAAGCTATCATATACTCTCACAGCAGCACTCAGGTCCCCAATTCGCCTTAATGCTTCAGCTTGAATTTCAAACTGAAATTCAATAGAAAGACTACTTCAGGGAGTAAGAGGCCATTCAACTATCATATACACTCTCTCCAAAACTCACCCCCCATAAGTAATTAGGTCCCCAATTCGCCTTAATGCTTCGGCTTAACCATCGATTTGAATTTCAATTTAAATATCATTCAACTATCATATACTATCTCCCCAATGCACCATCCATACAGTACTTAAGTACCCAATTTGCTATATTTCTTTGGCTTACCTCCAAAATTTTGAAGGCAAGAGGTTGTTTAAGTAACAAGTATAAGAAATTCTAAAATTTCAGTTACCGGTCACGAGCACAAAGCTTAATCAATTGAAGACAAGATTAGGTTAAACAACAACTCAAATCAATAAGGAGAAATAAAGTCCAGATTCTCTATGTAATTCTTGCTACACTCTGCAATAGTCAGCACTATGCCACAAAATACCCAAAAACATTATTAAATATCCAGATAAATACAAATATGACAATCAAATTACATGTTAAGGAAAACCCAAGTAGAATGTTGAACAAAAATTATAACTTGACAATTAAAAAGGTCGAAAATATGAAGAATTCAGAACAAAAATATAATGAATTCATGATCAAATAAGAAAACGCAGATGAGGATATAGGAAATCATATAACACATGAGTTGAAAAAGATTGACACACAAAAAAATTGATGAGAGCGAAAGAGAGAAGAGAGTACCTTGGACGTTACTCCTGTCAGTGTGTGTGCGAAAAGACGGTGAAGCTATTCGATGGTGCTCAAACTGCCCAAGTGCCGGAGAGGGTTCCTTTTAAAAAAAGAAAAATTGCCGAGAAAGTGTGGGTTCCCCCCTTTGGGTGTAATTGAAATAAACAAAAAAAAAAACATCTAAGATAACTCCTTTTTTTTTTTTTTTTTTTTTTTTGAGGTATATCAGGATAATTTTGATCAAAATTATGGTAATTTTTTTTTTGAAAAAAAAATATGGTAATTTAACAACCAATGTACTGGTAAAATAGATATTTTTTACAAAATAGAGGTGTTTCACTATCATTACTATTTTTTATTTTTAATAAGTAAAAACTCAAAAGACAACGAATTCCTTTTTTAGATTTTATATGACTTTCTTTTCTTTCTTTTTTTTCTTTTTTTTATCAACGAATTAACTTTACTAAAAAGAAAATAATTCAAATAAAATTCATGTCACATTACTTTGTATTCAGGAAATAATTTTACTATTACCAAAAAAAAAAAAAGAAAAAAAAAAGAATTCAAATAAAAATCATTGTACACAGATGAATATTTTTAAGATGACATTTTAAGTGATCGTTTAATTTTTGTATCAACTTAATCTCTTACAAGTATCATGTATCTAGATCATGTGTCCGACACGACTATGTTAAGCGGGTTAAGTGTCCATGCCCCCTAGTAGCCTGGTGGTGGAGTTGTCAAAAGACTTCCAACTCAGGTGTAATTGAAATATACTCTGAGTTTATAAGAGAATCTTGAATGGCAAGGGGCAAGGCTGTCAAAAGGATACAACTTTTCCTATTTTTCGCCTCTTCTCTAATCTTGGTAAGTGTATTTGTGATGTCAATTGATGTCTTTATCATGTTGCAAAAGAATGCTACAATATTTGTAGAGTCCTCGTTTACTTTTAGCCTTTCAAGTCCTTGTTCCTTACTCCATATTGCTTGAAAGCATGTTGTTTCAGTTTGTAGTTGTAGACACCTAAAAATGTCTCTCCAAAACCAAACTCGATGATGAACAACCTTTCACCGTCATTATTGGTCTGGTCGAGTATTTAATCTCGGGAGTGCTTAAAATCCATGTTCAGTCAAACATATTAAGTCAACAAATCAGTCAAATCATTTATTCAAACTCGGTCCAACTCATATCCTAGCCTAGACCCTTTTAATTCATTTCATGTTATTTATTAATTAAGCCCGATTAATAAATAGTAAAAACCCTAAGCCTGAAATTAATCCGGAACAGCTAAAACGGTGCGTAAAATATCACGTTCTTAGTCATTAAGCAAAGAATAAAATGAATCTAGACGGTTTTCAGGAAAACACGTGCACCGTGTCACGGCAGATATGCCGCTTCACGGTGTTCTGCGCCATGTCGCGGTATTTTGCGCCGTGTCACGGTATTTCACCGTGTCGCGGCACACATGCCGTTACGCGATATACATGCCGTGACGCGGCTTTTTTCTAGGGTTTCTCCGTGGCGCCTTTTCACTTCTAGGGTTCTGTGTTTCACCCCACATTTTCTCTATAAATACGAACCTGATTTCTCCAGTTAGGAGGCACCAACAATCATTCTCTTTCTCCAGGCACCAACAATTATTCTCTTCTCTCTTTAGCCTAAACACTAGCCACCCTATTCTCTCATAATTCTTCCCTTAAGCACTTCAAAGAGTCCATACTTGATCCGAAATTCTATACTTAAACCAAGGCGTGAAAGGTAGAATTAACTGAGGGTTTGGACCAAATTAACTCTACTTTTCATTTAATTTAATTCAATTTGATTTATTATTTATTGAAATTACTAACTGTTTATTCATGATGTAGCAATTGAAGGAAACGCGAAACGTGAGGCACGTTATTATGGTTAAATTGCTTCCAATGTTGATGTTGATTCTATTATATTTATTGATCACCATATTGCATGTTTAAAGGGAATATGTAATTGAATATCACGCCTAATAAGATAATTTGGACGACCGGTTTAGGTTCCTTTTTAATCTTGTTGTTTAATCGAAATGATCACGATATTTTAGAATTATATGTTGCATTAACATTAAACCAATTTAGCTTAATATTAGTTTAGAGCAAATTGAATATTTGTTTGCATGCCTTTGAGATCGCAGAAATCACTTTTCACAATAAGAATCGAGTAGAGGCTAATACGGGCGAATGTGACTCCATGACTCACTTCGTACCATCATCCCTGATACTCCTTTCGTGGTTCCGAACCATATGGAGTTAGTAATCTCATGGGTTATGAATGAGGTGTAACCTTCACGGGTCAATCGTTGTTGTCTTTTGTTGTCCCTTAATCGTGGTTACCTTATAATGATCCGTGAACGGTTTACAAGTTCCTTAAAAACTTGTTGGCAGCTCCCTACTTTCCTTATCCTTAATCGAATGTCAATTTCCACTTCCTATGAGTGCCAAGCATATTCACAACATGCTTAAAGTAGGCGCGCTTCGAATGACGCCTACAGTAGTGCTATTGCTTCAATTTGTAGTGTTGTTGCTTCAGTTTGTAGTGTTGTTGCTTCAGTTTGCAGTTTGCAGTGTTGTTCCTGCTTCTCTGTGTCCCTTCTGCAGCACAGAACCCCGTAACTGGAGATAGAGCTACCCAAGCCACTGCTGCTGTACCATATTTCAGCCTTAGAGGGACCATCTGTTTGGATTATGACCAGGTAGTTATCAAGCAGTTTCTGAAGTGTAAAGTAGAGTCCTTGGCAATTTTCAATCCAACTTGAAAAAATTTCCACCATAAAAATCTCAGATATATACTTGTTATTGGGAGTATATTTGTAAAAAACTTCAAGTGTGTGTTAAAACACTTGTCAGTTGTCATACATACCACCCATGCCATATCCAGGAAGCAAAATCTGGTATTGGGACTTTAAACATGTTCTTCAGCCTGGGTGGATAGTGCCATAGTGGTAGAAAAACCCCTTGGAAGCATCTGCAGACCAATCGTGAGCACAGGCCATTGATTTTATCAAATAGGACTGGCACCGCATCTTCTCCCACGGTCCAGGGAGCCAACCCTGCAGCATTACTAGCACAAAGAACTTTGGCATTGGCGCTGCTCCATGATATACCATATTTGCTGACAACAATTTGCCTATAATCTCTGCTGATATTTGAGAAAGAAAGGTTAAATAACCAGTAAAACAGAAAAAAAATCAGCACCATCCAACTCTGTATCATACATTGGATAACTCAGCAAGGCTTTAAGAACGTAATGGGAATCACAGGACAGATAACAAGTAATGTTAACAAGAAGATTAACAAACCTTAGCTTTGCAGCTAACTCAGGTCAACAGAGAGCTACATATTTCTATCAAAAATATACATACATGTCATGAAGAGATGCTGCACTGATTCAAGATTTTTTAAGTTTTTATGGAAATATATCATTGCAAATATTTTTTTAATTTTTAAATTTGTTAATTTTTCAATACAAAGAAACCCATATTCTCTATCCAATACAATTGTTTTTAGTTTTATAATATAAACAAAATTGAGTTTTTGAACACAACCAATGAAATTTGAAGTCAATTTTAAGATAATTTGGAAACACGGTTGGGGCATAATAATCTTATGATATTCGGTGAGAAGCATGGAAACAAAGAAAATAAAAATTAAAAAATTGAGAATAAAAAAGACCAAATAATTAGCTAGGGGTGGCAATCAAATCTAAGTAGCAAGGGGTGGACGACTATTTTAGTTCACACGACGCTAATTAAAGGGGGAGGAGGTGATAGGCAGTGGCGCATTAATGAAAGGTCAGGCAATGACACAGTTATAATTGGACGATAAAATTTTCCAGGGAAGGATGGTTGCCGGGAAATGAGAAGGGGACTGGGGAAGTGGGGAGGAGAGATGGGAATTCCGGTGAGGGATGACTAAATTTTTTTAGTAGGATAATATAGGGAGTCAATAGTAATGTGCCATGTGGCCAACTAACTTGATAAACCAGTTCAAGTCACCAGATCTTTTTGAGAAGACACTGCTATAACTTAACATAGCTTGCTTCAAAAAAAAAAACATAGCTTAAGCATAATGTATGGCAGAAAATAGGAAGATGAATTTTTTTTTTTTTTTATTAATTAATTGAGTTACAGCACTTTCGTACGATAATTCCACTACCTATCTCTCCCAATTTAGCTCTATAAAGCTAACCCAAACATCCAACAATATTCAACATACTGATCTCTTCCTAATCTTCTCTTATTTATAGCATTTCTTCTCTAACTTAATTCCCATTACTAGTTAATTAATTATAAGGATTTTGTCTAAAATGCCCCTTTCCCCTAATATCAGTTCATTGCAGATACCGACTACAGTGGAATAACGCAAATAAGGATTAATTTTGGTAGTCTGACTATAGTTAAGATAGCTGTTAATTATTCTTAGAACAAATCTTTCAAGGGTAGAATGACAAAACATCAACTGGGAAAAGCTAAGGCAATTCACCAACCTGTAAAAGAATGAAGTATTGCAATCCATCTCTGATGCAACATTTATTGAATGTTTTCTGTGCGACTGCAAAACATCATTGTGAACCAGGTTATAAACATACTGAAGCCCATTTAAATTGTCTCTAACAAAAGTTAAAGCACAAGGATGGGATTATGGGATACATTTAGTTAAAATTGTCTCATACGGAGAGTAATGATCAAAAGCAGTTATCAAATGATGATTTGTCTCCCCAGCTTGAGCACCAGATAGCTCCATCAATATCGCAACTGATTGGTAAATTTTGACACTAGTAATACTTCCACCTTACTCCTCAAAACCCTCATAATCTATAACAAATACATCAACATATCCAGCATCTTTCATATTCTCAGTTAATCCTTCCAGTATGGGATATATCTCATGTGATAGTTCCATGGATGAATCCCCTACCAAGAAAGGTTCGAAACCACTTCCTAAATCAACCCAAGCACAACCTGGGGACTTAAGCAACCCTAAGTCCCTCATATATGTTCGAACTCTTGCCAGTTTGTCCCAACAACTAGCAGCAGCATACGTATTAGCAATTAACACATAGTACCCTGGATTTCTGGGCCTTAATGCCAACAGTTTCTCAGCTGCCCACTCTCCTAAGTCTATGTTCCGATGGATTTGACATGCCCCGATTAGAGTAGCTCACATATCAGCACTTGGTTCAAAAGGCATTGTTCTAATGATCTCTTCTGCTTTCTTAAGCAACCCAGCCCTACCAAAGAGGTCCACCATGCATGCATAGTGTTCCAAACAGGGTCTTATGCCATACACACTCCACATTTTTTCAAACAGCAACTGACCCTTAATCACAAGACCGGAGTGGCTACATGCTGACAATACCGCAACCAAACTAATAAGATCAGGTTTGATTCCAGAACTATTCATCTCTTCAAACAGTTTCAATGCAACTTCTCCCTCTCCTAGAATACCATAGCCAGTTATTAAAGAAGTATATGTAACAATATCCTTCCTAGTCAAAAAATTAAACACTGTTTGAGCCTCTGAAATCCTTGATGTTCTTGCATACATCTCCACCAGGGCATTCCATAATAGCAAATACTCACTGAAATCTTGACGCTTGATGATGAAGCAGTGGAGTTCTTTTCCATGTTGCAGATTAGCTTCTCGAGCACACAAGGGAAGAATGCTGGCTACAGTAACATAATTTGGTCTAAAGCCACAAAGCAACATATCCCTAAAGAGAAAGGAGGCTTCTTCATATTTTCCATAATGTGCATAACCTGAGATTATTGAATTCCAAGAAATTATATCCTTTTCTTCCATCTGTTGGAATATAATATGTGCATGTCTGTGGTCTTGACACCAGGCATACATGGTAATTAATGCATTCTGAACATTTAGAAAATTTGCACAACCACCACGGATAGTAAAAGCATGCATCTCTTTCCCTGCTTTTATAGCTCCTATGTGAGAGCAAGCGCTCAACCCACTGGCCATTGAAACAGCATCCAACTTAACAGCACAAGTTCTCATTTGAGAAACCAAACCAAGTGCTCTAACATAGTTTCCAGTTCGCAAACACCCACCAATAATGGTGTTCCATGTTATAATGTTCAATTCAACACCCTCAAGCCGCATCTTCATAAACAGCACAAATGCTTCTTCCCACATACCCTTGGAAGCATATCCAGATATCATAGAATTCCATGAATATCCATCCTTATTGGGCAAGTTATCGAACAGGACACGAGCAACGCCAACGTCGCCACATTTACCATACATGGAGATCAATGCATTTTGAACACAAATTGACTCCCCATAATTGCTGACCAAAATGGAGCTATGGACTTCCTTACCAAAACCAAGATCTAATTGTTCACCACATGCCTTTAGCACAGATGGATAAGTAAATTCATCTGGTGTGATCCCAAATTTCAACATTTGACTGTAAGTACATAGAGCTTTATTCGAGAGTCCATTTCTTACATATGCAGATATAAGGATATTCCAAACCAAAGGATCCAAAACACTAGATTTTTCAGCTATCAAATGTGCCTCGGGCAATATATTAAAAGTTGAGTAAAAAGTGACAAGCTTAGGCAGTAATAGACTATGTTGATCAAGACCCAAACATATGATCTGGGAATGGAGCTGCCTACCCTGTTGAAGCAACTTGTGTTTTGAACAAGCTATAAGTAGGGAAGATATTGACTCTAAGATTTGATCATGAGCAACAGAAGCAGTGACATGAAGCTGGATCAAAGAGAAGGCTCTAAATGCTTTACCAAGATCACCATGACTAATGCATTCCTTTAGAGATGTGAGAAAAGGATGAAACATTAATCTTTCCACAGTTTCAAAGTTTTTGATGCTCTTCCTAGAGTTTCCAATTTCAGCAACTAATTTATTGCACCCAGTGTGTGTTATATTTTGTTTCCGCTTAACGTTCCAAGGTAAAAAGAGCTCAATCCAGAATATAAACCACTCTCTAGGAGACAACCATGAAGGAGAATGTGGCATGCACAAGGAAGAACATTATTTCCAGCAGCAGGTGAAATGTACTCCTCATACTAAAAATCTTTGTAGTTGACCTGTCAAAAGTAAATTAACTTTTACCTGCAAACATATTAACGAAGTTAGATTGACAAAATATATGAGAAAAATGGCAAGATGGAAGATCAAACATTGATATAAAAGTATTAAACTCCTGTCATAAACAAATAAGTATCTCTGTTAGTGCTAGTCACAAAAGAAACTTAAAACTTCCACTTTCCATAAGATATGAACATATAGTTCTTACTTCTTGACTTCCTCATTATAATAGAAGACGCTTACCAAACATTACATTCTTTGCAAAAAAGTCTGATAGAAAAAATAAAGTTGCAAACAGCTAGCAATCATTTTCACATAGTAGTTTTTCTCTGTAAGAAGCACAACCATTGTTTCTGGAAAGTAAATTCAGCAAATGACTAATGATGATATGAATTATAACATGGAACTTACCAAGTTTATCTACAAGTATAGATAAAACAGACCACTACCCTGGCATCCCTACAAAGTATTGGTGTTATTGTGTCAAAAAAAAAAAACGTTATCCACACACAAGGGGAAAAACAACAATTAAGGAACTCTCATCAAGAAAGTTTCATCCACATAACAAGAAATCTTACAACCTTGAGTATTATTCTCCAATATTGTGGCAATAAAAGAATACGGAAAAGAAGAGCTATCCGAACTTTATACAACACCATACTTTAAATAGCTCAAAGCAACAAAGCTCAACCCAAGTCGCAAAATTAACAAAGACAATGCCTATAGCCTGAGCAGCATCATGCAAGCAAACAAATAGACCAAAGAAAAAAACGCCCCCTAAAATCGTAACACATATGAATCATAAGCAACTGTTATTACTAAACGTTTGCAAAATGACTCAATGAGTACTATTGCTCAAATGAGACCAAAAACAGACAACCAAAAAAAATAAAGCAAAGCCAGTGAATTATGAATGTGATTGAATCTAAAACAAAATGCAAAATTGCAAAGAACACTTCAAAATCATACAAAATTAAATACTTGGTAAGAAACTGGAATTGAAATGCAGCTAACTCATTCAGATTACCACAAGTATAGAATGCATGTACCAAGAATTAAGATACAACTAACAAATTGATGATAGAAATGAAAATCAATGGCAATTTTAAAAACGAACTAACATTTCATTTCAAATAAGGGTTTATACCGAAAATTAATTAGACAGCAAACTGCAGCAGCACAGCTTCTTGCAAGCAGGATCTCCTTTAAGGTGCCGATGGGTGCAGAAGTCAAATAACTCCCTACCTCTTCTCTCTATCTTTGACGCAAGGAACAAACCAATGGCCTTGTGTAATTAGTTAGGTCTGATTTTTTTTTATTTTTTTTTATTTTTAATCCTTTTATCTTAGTAAATAGTTAGGTCTGGTTTCTTTGTTTCTTTAGTTAAGCTTTTTTAACCCTGGTTTAGGCCAAAGTTTGCATCTACTGACATAGCGTTAGAATCCGCCTCTTTCTCCATGTATCCCCTTTCTTTTCCCTTATGTTTTCCTTATGTATTGTCTTTTAAGTCTTTTTTTTTTTTTTTTTTTTTTACTTTCTAGGCTCTAGGGAGAATTATTGTGTTACTATAATTTCAGTGTTCACTAGTATTTCTCTATCTAATCAATATAAAGCTCTTTAGGGAGCGGATGGTTGAATGAATCAAAACTCCCTACCCAGTTGCATATTGCTTTAAGACTTGTGTGTTGATTTAAGCCTTTATAGATATTGTACTTGCCTTGTTTTAAAGCATCCCCTCCAAACCAAGATAACCTCAAAAGACGCCCTCGTAGTCATCGATTCCGCTTGTGCTCGCTTCGAAATATCGATCGTCACAAGCCCTGACTCCGCACTCGTTGTAGATGTGTGCTTCCTTGAGATACACTTGGTCCGTGTTGTTGTGTGCTCACGTACCCTTTCCGCTCTAGGCTTGCGTCCTTGTCGCCAAAAGACAAGAACGCGTCGCACGATCCGGTGTCAAAACACTTGGACCGTGATAGTTGGTATCAGAGCCGGGTTGCTCTAGAAATGGCGAACGTAGAGATGCCTGAATATACGTGGGAAACGACTTGCCTGGCTTGAAGGCAAGTCGGAACAATGGGCTATGCTTGAAGAAAGGATGCCCAAACTTGAAGATATTGTGATAAAGCAAGCCGAGCAGATGGAGAAGCTTATGTCGATGGTGGATGGGTTGACAGAGCAGCTCAATTGCTTGCAAGGATTGGCTGACGATGCACTAGATAAATGTGCTACCTTGATGCATGCCTAAAGAGGGCTCGGGGGAAGTGGAGGTGCCAAGATAAAACCCCCCAAGCCTCAAATCTTTAATGGCACTAGATAAAAGAAGTTGATAACTTCATCTTGACATGGAACAATACTTCCACATATGTCAGTTGGAGGACGAGCTAAAGGTAGATACTGCCACAATGCATTTGGTGGACGATGCTAAATTGTGGTGGCGCACCAAGTACGCCGACATTCAAGCTAAAAGGATGTCGGTAGATACTTGGGAAGACCTAAAGAAGGAACTAATGGAACAATTCTACCCAGAAAACACTGAGTTTGTGGCCCTTACAAAATTGGCAACCTTACAACATAAGAACTCTATTCGGGAATATGTTAAAGAGTACTCTGCGTGCATGTTAGAGATCCATGACATGTCTGAGAAGGATGGTCTGTTTAACTTTGTCTGGGGTTTGAAAGATTGGGCCCAGAGGGAGATTTGGCGCCAGAAGATAGACACCTTGTCGGGGGCTATAGCCGTAGCTGAAAGGTCGATGGATTACGTTGGACAAGGGATTAAACTAGAAGATAGGGACTAGTGGGTCAGCATCAAGTACCCTAAAGAGCACCACCGGGAACTCCCAAGTCAGTTCGAACAGTGTGGGGAGAAGATACAAGAGTGGAGGAGATGACTCTCGAAGGAATGGAGCTTTCGCGTCGACCAACAAAGGTGTGGCCTCCAGCTCCTCCTCATGGAATAAGCCCCTCACTTGTATACTTTGTCGCGGACCTCACAAATGGTTCGAGTGCCGACACAAGGGAGAAATCGACAATCTTCAGAAGAAACTCTCCTCGATGTCCATCGAACATGACAAAGTAAAGAATAAGGAGGAAGAGGAGAATAGCGAGGAAGAACCCTCAAAGTTGAGTTTGGTACACTTTATGTACGCCATGGGAACAGAGATGTCGGAAGATAAACATCCATCAAATGAACTGATGTACGTGGAAGTGTGGATTAATGGGAAGAATGTTCGAGCAATGGTTGACACTGGAGTCACCCACAACTTCATCACCGAAGATATTGCTAACCAACTGGGGTTGAAAGTGGTGCGGGGCGGAGGCTGCATGAAAGTTATTAACTCAAAAGCTCGCCCGATCCATGGTATCACAAAGAACGTGGAGGTCAAGATTGGAGACTGGAGTGGGACACTCAACTTCACCGTGGCAACAATGGATGATTTTGAGATGGTACTGGGAATGGATTTCCTCCATGTTAGCAAAGCTGTTTCGATGCCCCACCTGGGTTCCTTACTTGTTGCCAGCAACCATCCTTGCCTCTTATGGACGTGCCCGCAAATTAAAAAAGGAAAAGGCCAGAAAGGACCTCTCTTGTATGTGATGCAACTTCAGAAGGGAATGAAGAGGAATGAGCCAACAATCCTCGCTAATCTCTCAGTGAAGGAAGATGAGACGGGGAGCGATCTCCCTCTTGCCATGGAAGGGTTGCTTGAAGAATTTGCCGACCTTCTTCCAAAGGGGCTTCCGAAAGCACTCCTTCCCCGGAGAGCCATTGATCACACTATAGAGTTGGTGCCAAGATCTAGACCTCCCGCGCGGAGCCCCTACCGAATGGCACCTCTTGAGCTAACTGAGCTGCCCAGACAGCTGGATGAGTGACTTGAAGCCGGGTTCATTCGACCTTCTAGAGCGCCATATGGTGCACCAGTTCTTTTCCAGAAGAAACAAGATGGGAGTTTGAGATCATGCATCGATTATCGGGCTTTAAACAAGCTGACGGTGAGAAATCACTACCCCATACCTTTGGTGGCCGATTTATTCGACCAACTGGGAGATGTTATTTATTTCACCAAACTGGATTAAAGGTTGGGTTATCATCAAGTTCGAATTGCTCAAGGAGACGAGCAAAAGACGGCCTGCGTCACCAGATATGGGGCTTCTGAGTGGTTAGTCATGCCGTTTGGGTTAACGAATGCTCCAGCAACATTTTGCACGTTGATGAACCAGGTCTTCCACGAGTACCTCAACAAGTTTGTAGTGGTATACTTGGATGACATCATAATCTTTAGTCGCACTCTAGAAGACCACCTGGACCACTTGAGGAAGGTGTTTTTGAAATTGAGACAACATCATTTATTCGTGAAGCAAGAGAAATGTGCTTTTGCACAAAAAGAAGTGAACTTCCTTGGACATTTTGTGGACGGAGGTCGCATCATAATGGATCCAAAGAAAATCAAGGCTATCAGCGATTAGCAAGCACCAAAGAACGTTTCAGAGTTAAGATCGTTCTTAGGGCTAGCTAATTACTATCGTCACAAGTCCCCTTACAGACTTGTTGAAGAAGGAGAGGAAATGGAGTTGGGCAGACGAGCAGCAAGGAGCTTTCCTTGAGCTTAAGGAATACCAACAAACCATTTGAAGTGGAAACAGATGCATTAGATTTTGCGCTGGGCGGGGTTCTCTTACAAGAAGGCCACCTTGTCGCATACGAGAGTCGGAAACTAAGTGGCGCAGATAGAAGATATGCTACTCAAGAAAAAGAACTACTTGCTATTGTCCACTGCTTGAGAGGGTGGAGGCACTATCTGCAGGGGGCCAAGTTCTTTGTTCGCACAGATAACATTGCAGCAAATCACTTCCTTACTCAACCGAAGTTGACCGGGAAACAAGCACGGTGGCAAGAAGTGCTTGCCGATTTTGATGTAGAGTTCACATACAAAACAAGAGCTAGCAACCGAGTGGCCGATGCTTTGAGTCGGCGCGCCGACTTGGCTTCAGTGCAAAGATTGTCCCCTTTGACCTCCAGCAACGTTTCGACCTCAGTAAAAGAACAGGTTAAGCGGCACCTCCTTGAGGACCCCATGATGAGAACCATCAAAGGGTTGATAGAAGAGGGGAAGACAAGACGCTTCTGGATGGACGATGGGCTCATTTACACCAAGGGCAACAAGCTATTCATAGCGAAGGCGAGAGGCCTACGGAAGATGCTCTTGAAAGAATGCCATGATACCCTATGGGCCGGGTACCCAGGTTGGCAGAGAACTCTAAGCTTACTCTCCATAGGGTATTATTGGCCGGGAATGAAAGAAGATGTCATCAGTTACACTTAGACCTCCTTGGTTTGTCAATAGGACAAAGTGGATCGTCATAAACCTGAAGGTCTCTTAAATCCTCTTCCCGTGCCAACACGTCCGTGGGAAAGCATATATATGGACTTCATCAGCAGTCTACCCAAGGTGGATCGATATTTAGCGGTAATGGTGGTGATCAACAGATTATCAAAATGTGCCACCTTTGTTCCCCTGCAGAAGGCTTGTGGTGCTGAGGAGACGGCGACATTGTTCTTTAAACACATTGTGAAATATTGGGGTTTTCCCCAAAGCATTGTCAGCGATAGAGATACAAGATTCACAAGCATATTTTGGATGGAATTGTTCAAACTGATGGGGTCGAACTTAAACATGTCTTTAAGTCACCACCCCCAATCTAATGAAAATCCAGAGAGATTCAACGGTCTCTTAGATGAATACTTGAGACATTTCGCCAGCGCCAATCAACAATCAAGACTGGGTGAAACTCCTTGATGTTGCCCAACTTTGCTTCAACGCCCAAAAGAGTATTGCATCCAAAGAAGCCCGTTTGAGTTGGTGATGGGCCAACAACCTCTCCTGCCTCACACCATAACAACATCCGAAGAGGGGAGAAGCCGCGAAGCAAGGGATTTTAAGAGAGAGTGGCAACAAAACATGGAAGTTGCTCGTGCTTACTTGGAGCGGGCAGCGAAGAGAATGAAGAAGTGGGCCGACAAGGCCGCTGGAATTTGATGTAGGGGACATGGTGATGGTAAAAGCCTTGCCGGAACAGCTCAAGTTCCTTAGAGGAAGGGATCGTAGGCTAATTAGAAAATATGAAGGCCCTATCCGCATCACTAAACGGATTGGGAAGAATGCATATAAGGTTGAACTGCCTGCGTGGATGAAGATACACTCCGTCTTCCACATTAGTCGGCTCAAACCTTATCATCCAGATGCAGAAGACAACAACCGCAACATCATCAACCGCGCCAACATCAAAACCAAGACAGGAGCCACTCCTGCGACAGAAGACTGAAGGTGCTAGTTCTTTCCTTTTAAGTGTATGTTTTGTCTTGTAAGTCGACGAGGTCGTCGACGGCTTAAGTGGGGGAGGTTGTTAGAATCCGCCTCTTTCTCCATGTATCCCCTTTCTTTTCCCTTATATTTTCCTTATGTATTGTCTTTTAAGCCTTTCTTTTTTACTTTCTAGGCTCTAGGGAGAACTATTGTGTTAGTGTAATTTCAGTGTTCACTAATATTTCTCTATCTAATCAATATAAAGCAGCGAATGGTTGAAGGAATCAAAGCTCCCTACCCGGTTGCATATTGTTTTAAGACTTGTGTGTTGATTTAAGCCTTTATAGATATTGTGCTCGCCTTATTTTAAAGCATCCCCTCCAAACCAAGATAACCTCAAAAGACGCCCTCGTAGTCGTCGGTCCCGCTTGTGCCCGCTTCGAAATATCGGTCGTCACAAGCCCCGACTCCGCACTCGTTGTAGACGTGTGCTTCCTTGAGATACACTTGGTCCGTGTTGCTGTGTGGCTGTGTGCTTACATACCCTTTTCTCTCTAGACTTGCGTCCTTGTCGCCAGCAGACAAGAACGCGCCGCCCGATCTGGTGTCAAAACACTCGGACCGTGACACATAGGTAGTATTAACTTTTGAGATTGGCATTTATGGACTAGAATTGAGGATTTGAGAGTGCTCATATCTAGACCTAGAAAACGGGTCATTCGGGTCGGGTATATGTCGGGTCAGTTCGGGTCGGGTTAATTTCGGGTCGGGTTCGAGTTCGGGTCAGGTCAATTCGGGTTTCAGGTCAATGGTAATTTAGGTCGAGTCGGGTCGGATATCGGGTTAACACTTCGAGTTGAGTTCGGGTCGGGTCAATTTGGGTAGGGTCAGTCTTCGGGTCCATTTGTCAGGTCAAGTTTGGGTCAAGTCAAATTTGGGTCAGGTCAAATTCGGGTCGAGTCAATTCGGGTCGGGTCAATCTTCGTCTAAGTCGATGTAGAAATTTGACCAATAATATATTATCATCAATAAGTATAAAGTATAACAATTGAATATTAATAAAATATTCATTAGACAATTCCAACAGTACTATACACACATGTATTGTTTCATATGTATAATCACTATCATTGATTAATTGGTCAAAAATTCAAATTAGATAAAGTGAATAGTGGAAAAAAAATTCAATGTACTCCGATCCCTCTGTCCCAAAATACTTGGGACGTTGGGGTGGACATGTAGTTTAAGAAAATAATAAGTGGATTCATTTAAAACATTTGTTTATTATATAAACGGTTTTTTCACGAAATACCCCTGAGTTATTACTTAATTCACCATATACCCATCAAAATTTTCAAATTCACCATATATCCATAAGTTTCACAAAAATATCACGAAATACCTTTTCCGTCAACTCCATTAGTTATTAAAGTTAATTGTGCCACTTGTCAGCCTCTTATTGGTTCTTATTTAAATTAATTAATTAATTAAAAAAACCCTTAATAAAATTATTTTAAAAGTGTACTGTAAGAAAAAAACCTCAAACACCCAAAGCCCAGCCACCCTCATCGCACCCCTTCACCCCATACCCCGACGATCGACGCCCATACCCCCTCCTTCCGCACCGGCGCTTCCCCTTCTCCCAACCCCAACCCCCGCTACCGGTGTCGTCCCCCCTTCCCTCTTAACTATCATCCCAGATTCCCAGACAATGAGAACCAATTGTTATCACAAATTACCGGCATTCAATCTAAAATTCCTTAATTTCTTGCAATTTTTCCTGGGATTTTCGACCGAAATTAACTTTGCTTACTTGCTAAATCAGTGGCAAAAGCTGCGGTTGTTCCTTCGCCTCCGCTTTTAGCTCTAGCGCCAAACGATCTTCCTTCTTTTTACAACATTGGAGGATCGCTCGAAAATGTTGGTTATATTAAATCTTTTTATTTTACCGTAAAACTAATATCAAGGTTCGAAGTCAATTAGGATTTGTAAATGCATTTCATTCAACTAATATCAAGGCTCGAAAAAGTAAATGCATTTTTTTTTTTTTTTTGCTGAATTTTCACAATTGTGTCTATTGTTTTTCTGGTGTTAGATTTGTCAGATTTATGAAATTTATAGCAAGGAGAAGGTGCTTCAAGGAGGTAAGAGGACGGGAAAGGGAGGGAAAATACGTGGTGGTTCAAGGGGAAGGGGGAATGGCATTGGCGGCAAGGCTAGGGAGGGACGACGCCGACGCGGAGGAAGGGGGTCAGGGCGCCGGTTGTCGACAAGGCTGGGCTAGTTGCCGGTGTGAGGGCGCGGTGAAGGTGGCTGAGCTTTGGGTTTACTTTTTTAATAATTTTTTAAAAGATTTTTTAAATTAATTAAACGGTTTTTTCACCAAATACCACTGAGTAATTGCAAAATTCACCATATAAGACACAAAATTTTCTAATTCACCATATAGCACTGAGTTTATGTACATTAACACAGAATGCCATTTTTTTTATCTGCCGTTAACGCCGTTAGTAATTAAGGTTAATTGTGCCACGTGGCAGCTTGTAATTGGTTCTTATTAATATTATTTAGTTACTTAAATAAAAAATTAAAAAAAAAAACAAACCACCACATCGCAACCCAGCCACCCACCATGCCCCCAACCCCCGGCCTCCCCACGCCGGCACTTCCAGCCCTAAACCTCGTGCCGGTGCCACCCTAACCTGGAACCTCCCGTCGGCGTCTTCCTCTTTCCCAAAATCACCATCATCTCAATCAAAATCCCCATCCCTCCCTCGAAAAGCCTCCCTCCCAACCCGTCGGCCGTCCAAACCCCCTGCCAAATGCCGGCAAACCTAATTCAGCCCTACCCTTGCCACCTCCAGCCTCCTCCTCCTCCCCTGAATCACCACCTCGAAACCCTAAAACAAAAATCTAGGGTTTCGATTTTGGGGTTTTAGGGTTTTGGGGTGGTTATTTTCAATTAAACTGGGCGGTAGTGACTGAGAGAGGGGAATTTGAGTTCGCCGACACGGGGGACAGGGGTTTGGGCACTGGCCGATGATTAGGGGAGGGTTTTTCGAGGGAGATATGGGTTTTTAGTATTCCGGAACGGTGGTTCAAGGGAAGGGGAGGAGCGCAGGGGTTCTGGATGGTTTTCGTACCGGCGCCGGGGTTCTGGTCTGATTCCGCGCCGACAGGGGTTGTTGAGACAGGGTGGTGGCTAGGGTGCCACGCCTTTGGGTAGTTGGGTTTGGGCGTTGGTGGTGGTCTTGGTGTTCGGTCAAAGGAGAGAGAAAAGGTGGTTGTTTTTTTTTTTTAATTTTTTATTTAAGTAATTAAATAATATTAATAAGAACCAATTACAAGCTGCCACGTGGCAAAATTGACCTTAATTACTAACGGCGTTAACGGCAGTTAGAAAAAATGGCATTCTGTGTTAATGTACATAAACTCAGTGCTATATGGTGAATTAGAAAATTTTGTGTGGTATATGGTGAATTTTGCAATAACTCAGTGGTATTTGGTGAAAAATCCGTTAATTAAATTAAATAAGAACCAGTCATAGATTGCCACCTGGCACAATTAACTATAATGACTAACGGAGTTAACGCCATTAGTCATTAAGGGCATTTAGTGATATTTTCATGAAACTTATGGGTATATGGTGAATTTGAAATTTTTGATGGGTATATGGTGAATTAAGTGATAATTCAGGGGTATTTCATGAAAAAACCATTATATAAAGGATTCTCTTTTGTATTTCTATACTGTAAGGAAAAAAAAAGTGGAGGAGGTGGGGGTAGTGAGTAAAGAGAAAATGTAGGATTTAATTGGGTTTTGGGGTTTGTGGTCCCAAAGAGAGTATAGGAAAATATTTTTTTATTAGTGGTCCCTTTCTATATTTAGTAATGTGTCAAGTATTTTGGGGCGGACGAAAATGGAAAATGTGTTAAGTATTCTAGGACAGAGGGAATAACACTTAAAAGAAGAAGCTAAGAGTAATAGTAATAATAACAATAACAAGTGTTCCTAATCAAGTGGAACTCTTTATGAATTACGTAAATTACACGCACATTCCAACAGCACTATACACACAAGAATATAATTTTAGGTTATTTTTTATAAGTGTTTATTCGGGTAAAGTAATTACGCCCTAAATCAGTTAGGTCATTTTGAGTATTAGTTAATTTTGGGTTGGGTCATTTCGGGTATAGTTCGGGTCGTTTCGGGTTTTAAGTCCGTTCGATTCAATCAATTTAGGTCAAGATCGTGTCGGGTCGCTTCGGGTATCGGGCCAATTCGGGTATCGAGTTAACTTGGGGTTGCGTTAATTCGGGTCGGGTCAATTCGGGTATCGGGTCAAATTTGGGTCAACTCCACTTTGGGTCGGGCATGGGTCGGGTTGGGTCTGTTTCGTGTTCGGGTTTACGTTTACGTTTTTGGGTCAATTTCGGATCACGGGTCGGGTCATTCGGGTCTGGTCGTTCGGGTTGGGTCAAGATTTCCAAGTCTACTCATATCAATCAACATAGCATGGTGGTCTACTCCCTTTTAAGGGCTATCGGGACTTTTCTTTAGCTAGGCCGGGAGTAAGCTATTGTGTTGCCACAGTAGGACAAGGGCCATGTTTGGTAAATGGCTTTTTGGTCAGCTTTTGGCTTTTGGCTTTTTTATGTGGTCAAACAGCCAAAAAAATATTTGGTAATTGACTTTTCATTCAGCAAAAAAACTGGCTTTTAAGCCAAAATAAAAAAGCTGTTATGAGTAGCTTTTTTTGTTGGCTTTTGGCTTATTGGCCCACAAATTATCTAATAAACAGCCATTAGCCACCAACTAAATTTATTAAACACTTTTATAAACAACTAGTTTAAATAGTCAATTTCAAAAGTCATTATAAACAGCTAAACATTCCAGTTGGTCAAACAAGCCAAGTGAACCAGCCAACCGTCAACGGCCAACCACCATTTGCCAAACAAGGCCAAGGGTTAGGTTTTCATGCCTTCATGGTGTTCATGTTTCTATTGCTTTCTTATATCTTTAAGTTGTTAAATACATCCAAAACGATGATTCAGGATGGAACTTCTTGAGTTCATGGTTTTCTTTCCTAATAATAGAATTATAAAAAAAATATAATAAAATATTAATAATCTCACGTAATTTGTTAATTTATCTTACGTAAATGATTTTGTATAATTTGTTTCATGTAATATAAAATGTTTTTGGTGTATAATGATCCATGCGAGCGGAACATTTTTCAGGATGTAAAATTGCGATTTGGGTGAAATTATGAAAAGGACAAAAATGTCAAAAAACTAAAATTACGTAAGATAAACTAAAATTACGTGAGAAACAAAAAGAAAAAATAAAATAACCTTTGTTCATCTCATCTACGAAATCCACCATGGCAAACTTCAAGCAAAGAGAGGGTAAAGCATAAGTAGAAAATGAAGATGAAGGGATACGAATATGGGAAATAGGATCATCGTCAGCACTAAAAAGGTCAATCAAAATGGAAAGAGCTCGTTAATTTGAAGTGGAACACAAACCTGAAAAACAACATTGGTCGGTTCACCAAAATGAACCACATGAAAACCTTAGTGGGAGGTCATTTAATGACAACTCTTGTTCGAGGAGGCTTTGACTGCAATACCCCGCATTTTTATATAGTTTACTAATTAAAGTATTATTTTATAACGTACTTAAATAATTTAAAATGAATTATTTATGGTATTTTGATATTTGAAAAGGTGTATTTAAATTAAAAACCCATTTAATATGTATTTATATGGTTTGGAAATATTTTATTTTTAACATTTGTAAACTTTGCAGCACATTTAATTTATAAAGGAGTTTTAAAGTCAAAGGAATTTTAAATAAAGTCAGAAGACCACTTTGAGTGGAAGTGAGAATCATTAAGGGTAAAAAGGGAAGATCAAGTAGGAAGAGGGTTTTACAAAGGAGTATAAATACTCACCCAAAGGTAAAAATCAGATTTTCCCCAAGGTGATAATTCCAAAGAGGTAAACTCTCTTTCTCTCCCCAATTATTTTTCACCTTGATTTTCCCCTTCCCCTTTTATCACCACATGCACCACCACACACACCACCTACCACAGTGGCCGGCTGCCACCAACACCACCGTAGCAGGCCGCCGCCAGCAATGGCCGCCAGCAGCAGCAGCCGTGGGGAGGCGGTAGCAGCCATCCTCCCCCTCCCTTGTGTGCATGCGGTTTCAAGAAAAAAAAACTTCTTATTGTTTTAAATTAAATCTAGCTTTGATTAATTATTTATTTTGGGTGTTGTGAGATGAAATTATGATGTTTTTAATGATGATTAATATATATAATTTTCAGATTTGGTTTTTATATGAAAAAGCCCCAAATTGATAAACACTAGGTTTCTAAATTGATGTTTATTAAAGGAATGAATTTAATTATAGTTGATTAGTACTATTGAAATTAATGTTTTAAAACTAAATTACAGCAAGTTTAAGGGTTTTTATATTGCTGGAATTTTTATTAGAGGCTAAATTAAGGTTTTCTTGAAAGGATTTAATTACCCATTAATTGGGAACAAAGCTAAGTGGTTGTAAATAATTTTCAGCATGTTTCAAGAGGTTTAAAAGTGTTTTAAAGTGTGTTATATTACTGGAAATTTAACTAGAGTGTGTATTAATGTCTCTTGGTATCATATTTGTGGGTTTTAGGAGACTTCCAAGTGAGCGATTTTGTGTAGTCGTGACGATTTTGAGATCATATTCGAGGTACGTACGCGTACTTGATATTATTTAAGCGTGTAGAAGCATGCTAGGATTTATTTTGGTTGATTTCAAACTAGTATCATGTTAGGATTTGGTTGGAATTGTTGGATTGGATTGAATTGGGGATATTGGATTGGAATTGATGACTTGTTTATGAGGTTCGATTCGTTGAATGAATTATTGAGTGGAATTAATTATGTTGACATGTTGTATATGGACCACACTTTTATTATTGGCATGATTAAAGACATGTTTAATTAAACTAAATGTTTAATTTGGTTTGGAATATAAAAAGGGAATTTTATTATTGTTCATATAATTTTTATTGATGCTATAAGCATGGGAATTGACCTATCAAGTATCTTAGTACACAAGAATAAAATGTATGGCGGTAAAAACCCAAAAGAATTCTAGAATCGCTGTTTGACTTTTCCTTGACTTTTCGCTCGTCAATGGCAATTTTCTGAGCTGGTTTTCGCACTCGGTCAAGGTCGATCATGGCTAAGAAGAAGAAGTAATCCACTCTACTCCCTCAAACCTCAAACTTAGTATCTTTGACTACTGCTAATTCGGGTTTAATCCGAATGAATAAAACTGGGTTTTCTCGCAATTCTGCAACCATTCATGAGCGTTTGAGTGAACTTGATGAGTTGGTTACTCCTCCTATTCATCTTGTTCATCCTTAAGCTGGAATGATTACTAGAGCTGATTTAAGAATACTTGAGCATAATTATCAAGTGGATTTAGCTGAAACATAGAACAAATCAAATGAAACGGTAACTAGGGTTACTATTCCATTGCCTTAGATTTAATCGATAATTCTTAATGTTGATGGAGCTGCACCTAGATCTCGAAATGGTGTTTCTACCAGCTCGGGGATCAATTTTGGTTCTATTCTTGAAAATCCCAATAGAACAGTAAGTCGAGCTCCTAAGGTTACTGTTCCATTGAATTCTAGACTTGATAATGGTACAGGTGGTGGTGTATTGGGGGTTTCTGATGCTAGTGAGGAACATTCTGCGCATGATAATGTGATTCTGAATGGTGGGAAGTCTAATAGGTGGTCTGATCTCTTTAGAGGAAAGCTCACTGCTAAAGATACTCCTCTTTCTTTTGTTGATCCTATTCTTAAGAATGGCCAGCCAATTGCTTAATTACAGGCTTCAGAAATCAAGGCAGGTAATGATAAATGGTGCAATGCTATTGTACTATATGTTGTTAGGTTTTATCCTACCATTATTGCTGCAATTCATAGGTTTATTTCCTAGCAGTGGAGCAATTTTGTTAAACCTAAAGTGTTTTGGCATGATGATGGCTATTTTGTGGTTAATCTTTATACCGCTGAAGATAAAAATGATGTCCCGTGCTTAGGACCTCAATTGATTAATGGTAAACCAGCTATAGTTAAACCTTGGACTGATAAATTTAACTTTCATGATGAAATTCTTAAGACAATCCACTTTGGGTGAGATTTCCTAATCTGCCTTTATATTGCTGGGGACCAGATACTCTTACAGTGGCGGAGCCAAGATTTTTATCACGAGGGGACGGACTAATTAAGGACGACGTTGTTCTATAATTTGACAAAAAACCCTTACAAATATACTTAAATGCATAAATTGTGCGTTTGATATTTATAATCAAGTTTTACAACCCAAAATTCTAAACTACTTAGTCATACGATCCAAAAAGTTGAAAAATAATAACTATTAATTTAAATTAAAGTTTCATTTTCAAATTATTCTTTTTAAGTTTCTATTACAACAAATAGTTTATTTGGGGTTGCAATTTGAGCTAGGTTTAAAAAATTTATGTAAATTACTAAGGTAATTTTTGTGTTATAAAATAAAATCCCATAGTAGGAAAGGGAAAAAAACATAAATTACATAACTAGTAGGGGTAATTTAGGTGTATAAAATAAAATTCCATAGTACGCGCGAAAGGGAAAAAGCATAAATTACATAGTAGGAAAGGGGGAAATATGAAGTATTAAAATAGAGAAAAGGAAAAAAAAGGCTAGATTAAGGGATTGAACCCATGACCTTAAAAGCCCAACATAGACACTTTGACGACTAGACCATTTCTTTCTCTTTGTAATTATACACCATAGAAATGTATATAACCATTTTTTTTTAAAATAAGTGGGGGGACAAGTGTCCCTCCTTGTCCCCACCTGGCTCCGCTATTGCATTCTTAGCAGAATTAGTAGTACTCTGGGTGTGCCTCTGTTTGCAAATGAATGTACATCTAGAAAGCTTCGAGTCTCTTTTGCTAGGTTATTGGTTGAGGTTGATATAACTAAACCATTGTGTAGCTCTGTTATGATTGAAAGTTTTGCAAGTGATGTAGTTGAATTGAAAGTCCAATTTGAGTGGACACCACCTTTTTGTAAAAAGTGTGACAAAGTGGGGCATAATTATTGTGATGCTTCTCCTAAGCCTAAGTCTAAGCAAGTTCCTGCTCAGGTTCAAGCTAAGACTACTCAAACTGCTCCAGTGCAGAAAGTCTTGGTTCCTATATAGCCTAGTGTTCCTGCTGGAGCAGATCAAGTCATGGCCTAGGCCTACTAATCTTGCTACCCTTGCTCTCACAACAAATGTTGCTCATTCTGAAGATGATTGGAGGGTGGTAGGTAGAAAATCTAGGTGTAACACCTCCAAATCTCCCTCTACGGAAATACTAGTACAATACGTATAATTTTACCGTAAAGATAGATTTAGGCATATTACCGCTGCGTGATTACGCAAGGCTACTCAAACTACTAACTTAATACCAAAACTTTGCAGCGGAAACTCAAACTCTTTCTTTATTAATACTTATAAAAATAGTAACAATTGTTATGAGTACTCAAAATAAAGACAATAACCAACATCCCCTAATCTAGGTTAAGAAAATCCCGAGACTCCCATATGCTCAATCATGACTCCACCAGAAATAGTCAACACTGCTTACCATTAAGGTAAACAGGGCGAACAGAAACAAATAGGAAATATGAATTAGCGAAAAATATGCTAAGTACGATACTTGCAAGATATGTAAACTCAATTTATAAGCAAATATGCTTTTAAAATCAATCATGAAATTTCAATATTATTTATTTCAATAATTCCAAACCTCATAATTCAAAACCAATTCTCAAGATTCTCAAAATAATTCCAATAAATCCAATCCTCAAAGCATTGAAAATCCATTCCTTTAATTTATTCCAATTTCCTCTCCTAAGTATGCACACCCCCCAATTTAGTATCTTTATATTGAAAGGCTATTCTTGAGGAAAGACCAAGTGATACAAAGTCCATAGTCTTATCAACCAAATCTTCATAGTGGGATTACATAAACATGCTTGTAAAACTTTAAGGGATAATTCAATAATTCTCATGAAATTCCTCTTTTGATTAAAATCAACCTTTATAATAAAATAATTCAAACTCCTTTTATTTAATTCAACATACTTTGAAATCAAACCATTTAATAATTCAAACTATTCAAAACATGATATTAAAATCCATTCTCAAACATCTTTATTTTAAAACATGAATTCTCAAACTTATTTCATAAAGCATAATTCAAATTAATTTAATTCAATCGCTAATAAAAATCATGTGAAAACATGCTATTCAAACCAATCACTTTCAAAGGTATCTATCCACCTAAACATACCTTGATTCCGAATCTCAAATCAACACTTCGAACTTTCAAAGTTCAATCACGAATACACCTTGCAATTAACATAACCATAAGCTTATCATAACATCTTTAGACATAAACCCAAATCTAATGTGCATCGACTATAAAACTCTTTTAAAAATAGTACTTTAATATAAAATTATAGCTTTGAAATAATATTTTAGAAAACTAACCATGAAGAGAATAAAGGAATAGGATTAAGGAGAATTGAATTCATGTTGGAAAGAATAGGCAGAACTTGCAGAGGCCATAATTC